AAAAAGTGACTGCAACGTTTCAACGTAGATTTTACAACAAAAAAAATGCTACTTTAGCCACTATTGTAAGCTAATTCAACCACGGGATGATTAAAGTAGCATTTTTTTTTGTTGTAAAATCTACATTGAAACATTGCAGTCACGTTTTTTAGCAATTGAATTGTTAAATCAGCAATTTAATTTTTTCCGTGGGTCGGCGTGAAACGCATAGCGCCTACAAGACTGTAGGGATACTTCACACATTGCGCAAAACACAGTGCGGTTGGCACGGTGGCGGATTCCCAAATATACTACATGGAGAGACCAGAGAGTACTGCACGTTTTTCTTCTTTTTTTCGGGCGAGCGGTAGCAGATATCAAAATGCGGTTTGTACAGACTTAAAGTCCGAGTAATTACCGATAAAACGAAACAAATCCGAGCACTCTGAGTCAAAGAACGACTAGGTTACAGTGTTTTGAAAATGACATGTCGAGGTGACCCCTCTAGGATTTAAGCACTATATGCAGCTCTGTAAGACGTGGCATCTCAAATCACTGTCAAAGATCGTGATACCCGGAGTTGCCGACAGAGTTGCGGTTCCTCGAAAAAACTCTTTCACATTGCGTTGCGTTGCCTACAAGGAAAAAAAAATCCGAGAGTTTCGAGCGGAAACGACGGCACTGACTGTTGGAGAGCGAATTGGATTTCTCTAAATCCTCCGATGAATCAGCGTGTGACACTTTCATTTCGGCCCCTTCCCCAGCTCGGATATCAGCCGATGTTCGAACTTCCAAGTTTGGACTCGAGCCTCCGATACCGAACAGTGGCGCGGCGTGCTTTGCGATGTATCGATTGATCTGCCATTTAAACGTACGGAAAAGGCTCGATATACAGGGTGTCCGCAAATAATCGATTCATTACCATAGTTACAAATGAGGGAATATCGCTAATCGATCATCCGCGCCACGTCGCTGATACCGAAAGTCAGGGCCTCCCGTTGTATTTGTCAGATTGGCACCGAAATCCCTCGTTTCCAATACGAACGGAGGCCAAGTTAATTTACTGGTCCCGGAGAGGATTTTTCCACCCGAACTCCTCGGTGATGCCAACTTGTGCGTGAAAGCCGTGTTCTGCTCCGCTGCTTTTTCCAGGTCAACGGACGGCCATCCACCAGCCGGGTGAAATAATGATATCCATCGGCGCGGCGCACCAAAGAGAGCAAAACGTTCCAATATGAAGTTTCGGGTAGAGTACCTGTATAGCGAGAGTATAGACAGATGTGAAACTCCGAAAATCCATCAGGCCTTCACCGATGTCTCCGCGAATAAAGTTAGGGCCCAGAAATGCAGCCAACCTATGAATCTCAATTATCCAGAGCGCTTTACTAATACAATTGTTACGAACCATCGTTTATAAAGCACGTATTTGACTTACGTGTTGCATAAATTTACTCATTTTTGCGGAAGAGCGCTCATTTATGTACATTCTTAGCCATCTTGGTTAGAATTGGAATATGCAGACTGGCAGTGAAATTTTGTGCGTTAGAAGTTGGTTAGAAGGGTGGCTGCACTTTTGGGCCCTAAGCCCTCCATAAGGCGATCTGTCCATACTGTCGCTATATAGGTACTCTAGTTTCGGGGAAATTTATTTTTTTATGTTCGAGTAAAAATCAATTTTGAATAAATCCTCCGTTTTTCACGAATTCATCACCAGTCATCGGTTGGTTCTTGAAGATCGCCGGATTCTAAAAATGTAATATGTTATTGAAAAAGAATGAACGCTGAAAAATTCAATTGACTTTGATGAGGAGATTTACCACACAGCGGTTTTTTTTCTTGATGTTAGACGCTACAGTGAGATCTCGAAGCCACATTCTCGTCATCGAAGAATAGAAAAAAACCTTTAAACTTCGTTTTTTTTTTGTTTGTTTTTTTTTTAACCTAAGTTTTAGCAATGGAGAGAGAAAAAAATCAGACGAACTTAAATCAGGATAGGATAAGAGGAAATGATTGCTTCAAATATGTTTGGACTTTGCGGGTTTATAAAGAGATGTTTAACACGCGCAACAAATTTTCTTATCGATACAAGAGTTGAAAGATTTTAAAAAAACATTGAAAATTACTAATTTTGAGCGTAACAAATCTTAAAAACTAGGAAAGAATTTGTTTTTAAGGAAGAACATTACGAAATTTAGAGAGATACGAAGGTTAAGCAGAATGAGGTCGTTTACTAAAGACCAATTGGTTTTCATTTTGCAATTGTGAAACACAATTTCCGGCCCAGTGACAAACTGAGATTATACCGCTCAGATGTTGCAAAGCATTGCTCGGAGTTATCATGTTTATTCTTACAAAATATAATTGCTCCATTGTCTTGCTAACTGTCTTCAGACACTCTCATCTGTATTCTCACGTGAAATCTCACTCAGTATGTGCTCAGCACTGAGAAAGAATCATGAAACTCGCAAAGACAAGCTGTCGGAATAAAAATGCCGTCTCTCTCGAAATCCTCACGGCTTTATACTTCCCGTTCCTGCCACTCTCCTGGACGTAAACTATTACTACTCAATATGTGCATGACTTCACGTTTCTATTAACATAATGGAACTCGGGCATAAGCAGACTCTATCTAACAGGACGAGCCAATTGCACCAAAGTTTTGTAGATGGTTCATTGGTTTTCATGCGTTACAAAAACTGAATACTTGGAAAAAAGTGAGGTTTTTAGGGTTTCTTTTGCACTGCCGATTGAATGCAATGGTTCTAGTCGGTAAATAATTACCGACTAGAACCATTGCATTCAATCGGCATTCATTTCAAAAATGAGGAAGGAATTGAATGTTATAAAACATTCAATTCCTTCCTCATTTTTTTCCCTTCCTCCAGGAAAATACAAGTGTGGTCGGTAATTATTGACGTTGCAAATCGAGAAACGTGTTTTTTTACTCTTGTGTCGCACGACAAAACCGTTGCTACTATCAATATATCAGGGTCAGTAGCCTGATTGTTGAAATTTCTGTTGGCACGACAAGAATCGAAAATCGATACATTACACGGCGCAGATAGGGCTATGTCTTGTCTTGCCGATAACCAGTTAAAGTTTGAACAATCAGGCTGGTGGTGTTGTGATTAGTCCCAGTCATCGAGTAAGCTAATCACAACTCTTTACCTTGATATCGCAGTACCCCAGAGCTGAAGAGTACCGGGTAACCAACTCACAATTTTGGAAGAATCGATTTTGTGGCTTTTTAAAAATCTATTAATGGTTCAGCGTGTGTGAAAAATTTGGTAGCCCTATCTTATGCCGATTATGTGATACGGGGTTTCAAAAATTGCGATTTACATTGAAATCATTGGGTCCGACGCGCGGTTTTCCCCGGATAATCAGGTACCTTTTGGATCTGGGGTACTGATACATTGATATCACAATTAGATCGTGTGACAATAGCTGGCCTGTGGCCTGATTGTTGAAAATGTCAGCACAAGAGGACATTGGAAAATCGATGTAATACACGGCTCAGCAGATAAGGCTATGTCTTGTCTTATCTCGCTGACACGGCCAGAAAAAGTTTCAACAATTAGGCTGCAGTAAAGACAAATACTAGAACAGAAACTCATCATTTACTAAGAAATGGACCGTGTCTAGCAAAAAGAAACTAAGCCACATTAGCGATTGCCAAATTCAGCTGGGCAATTAGACTTTTTTAAAGAGAACGTTTGTGGATACCTTTGAAAATGTTAGGGAATTGCCTCGTACTATGCAGAAAATTCACTGATATTTGCACATAATTCCGCACAACCGTTTTCATGTAGAAAACTAAACTGCCGAATTTTTGGCAAAAGCTGATGTGGCTTGGTTCCTTTCTGCTTAACGCGGTCCAAATATGATTGATTTTTACTTATCCTTTTATACGAAGAGGGCACGATGAAATTACAACCCTGGTAAAAATTGGCAGTAGAATGTGTGTTCCAAAATACTATAGACCTAAAGCCGGCTGTAAGATTTCCAATAGCCTCTGTAGCCGGCTGTACAATTTCTTATAGCCTTTTACAGCCGATGGCGATTAAGCAACAGCCAGACGATAAAGTTTATGCTAAACGTTCCTAATTGCGGATACTAGGACTTAGTTTTTGGACTACCGCTCTCTTTTTTTGCCCCAGTATCTTGATTTATTTTGCAAGGAAAGCTCCGTACTTTTGAAGGATGCCTGTCATTCTTAATATATTGGAGCGCCTTCAATTTCTTATGATACTGTGCAATACATCTGGTGTGAAATAGTTGCTTCAGACGCCGTGCCGTGGCACGCTGCGGCGCGGCGGGCGGGCAGATACTTCACGCATTGCGCAATGCGTGAAGTATCCCTGTTAGGTTTGTAGGCGCCAGTGCGTCGCCGCGCGCCGCTCCGCTTTGTGTTAGGCTCTGCTATTTAATCTCGCGGAGTCAGCGTTTTTCAACTCATGATTTTGCAATGTTTGCACACTCTGTATGGATTATTCTCATTTTAATTGATAAAAAAAATATGTTTTAAAGTAAAATATAATGTGTGTTTTGTAAATATTAAGGTAGTTCCGTATCAAACTTAATGATTTCCAAAGCACACGAATTTCTACACAATTTCTTACCCTCTTATAGCCAATGGCGATAAAGTGTAAAGCCCGGCGATAGGAACTATATTCCGACTGTATACTTTGTTATAGCTTCGTATAGCCCGGCTATATGATTTTCTCCGCTGTCTACGGCCAGCTATATGATTTTCAATAGCCTTCTTTCGTCGGCTTTAATAACTCCTATGGTATTTTGAAACACAGCTCCTATCGTCAATTTTTACCAGGGAATGACCCTTTTGAATGACTGCAATGCTCAGCATATTTTCGATGAGCTACTGCATTCAGTTTTACTCAGAAAAGCGAGTAAATCGATACATCGGGGTTGAGGCCGGAGGGCCACGGTTTCGTTTGATTGTTAAGCGAGCCTTTGTTTGTTTGTTAAGCGAGCCTTTGTTTGTTTGTTTGTCGGTGCAGGATGAGCGAGGACCAAGAGGCAGCCAGAGCGGCGGCGAAGCGGATCAACTTGCAAGAGAAAGCAAACAACTTCATGCGCCAGTATCGAGACCCCAACAGTCGCGAGCTCAAAAAACTCTCCGCCAATCAGTTCATGGAAGTTTGGAGCCACTACGATAAAGACGGTATGCACTCATTGCACTCGCTTGATTTCTCATCGTGTGCCTTTAAAGGGAGATTATGGTTACTGCGGGCAAATTCTTGAAATTTATAGACAAAGTGATAGACAGAGAAGACATAGGGAGTACGGATGAGCGATGTTATTGGTTGGAATTGGTGGTTCCTATGGACTACCTAAGGGAAAAAATTATAGACAAACTATAGGGTCGCTCGTGGGCTGCCGTTAGTTAGTCTATTACCTTCTTCCTTTGTCCAGGATGGCTTCATATCTCTTTTGTCCTCTTTGTCTATCGCTTTGTCTATAAATTTCAACAATCAGCCCGCTGCAGGATCCACCTCTGATTAGCTCATTAGCTCAGTCTTCTTAGGCCTTAGGGAGCTCTTAGGATCCAAAAAAGACCAACATTGCTTGTAGAAGATTTAAAATCACAGTAATTGAGGTTGCATGTGCCTGTGTTACTGAACTTCACCATAATCAAATAATTCGGCGTATTTACCAAATTTTTAAACTAATTTTGTATTCCATTCCTGGTAAATTCGATCAGTATATTATCGTCACCTTTCGGCCAAAGTATCACAAGCGCCATGCGACGTTTCAAAATTTCCACCGCCTTATATTTTCTTACAGAGAAATTGCTCAATAAAGCAGTCCGAAAATTTCACTGAATTTTCTTGGCGCTGCTGATGAAATTCAGTGACATTTTCGGGCAGCTTTACCGAACAATTTCGCTGTAAAAAAACAAATGGCGGCGGAAATTTTGAAACATCGCATGGCGCTTGTGATACTTTAGCCGGAGGGTGACGATATCATCTACCGTGATACGTCGAATTAGTATGATACCATCCTGGACCACTATAATAACTTACTGGTGTGGAAAACCAGCATCATATCATACTGATGTCATACCAATATTACCTTCCAATAACAGAAACCCCCAGTCAGTGATAGGGCTTGAACAAAATTTGAGAGAATAAGAATGGAATCAAAGTGACGATGTTATTTAATTTCTACTTTATTATACTGATACCGTCCTAAAGTTGAGATCATATTCAGCCAAAGATACTTTTACATTTTATAGGTTACTGCAGTCTTTTTGCGAAAATTTTCTTCTATAAATTCATCTTCCATTTTTGTTGTTAGGTAACTTGATCAAAAAAATTTGCCATGTTTCTTTTACGAGGACTTCCACATTTAAATGCAACTATAATCTTAAAACGGGTCAAAAAAATGCAATAAACTTTTTCTCCCAAATATCAGGGATGTCCTTTGTCTATTTAAGTTTCAGTCTATACGATGCTTGTTGCTTTGAAAACCCATAAATTTAGCTGTCTTGCGATCTCTAATTCAGTCTCTTTATGCACAGGAAATGGATACATCGAAGGTACAGAACTCGACGGATTTCTCAGGGAGTTTGTATCCAGTGCCATATCTTCAGAGGTCAGCCCGGAGGTGAGTCTTTAACTCATTTTCACATCGAAAAATTGAGAATTTTTGGCATGATGGTTAAATTTCGAAACCATACATTTCCATTTGCGACGTCGCTAACCACCCGTCATACTTCATGTCTCAATTGGGAGACTCCTGTAAACAAGTTTTGGAAATTTCCATGATTTTTTCTCATCTGTTTGAGGAATATTCTGTTGAAAATTTCGTATCATAAAATTGGCTTGTCTTTCTTGAGAAAAAAAGGGGGATAAAGGATAAAGAAAAGGAGTAGAGAAGAAATGAAATAGGCACTCTAAAACTGTAAAATCGAGAAACGTGGTGAGTCTGACGATCAATGTGCTACTTTATAGCCTCCCAGGAATAGGAGCCCCCGATAGAGTTTGAATTTGAGAAAAAAAGTCTGGAGTTCAAAAAGGCGAACGTATTTAATTTAACGTAGTGAAATTATATTGTAATCTAAGATTTAGCGCTTACACGGTATGCAATACCAATAATTACTTGCTTGAATGATGTGAGAGTAATACATCAAAATATTGAATTGTCCTCTAACCCTAGAGTGCGTACACATAGTTGTTTTCCCTTTTTATCTCTGCATAGAAGAGTGTTTAAATATGTTATATTTCAGCAAAAATAAACGCTTTAATGAAAATAACCGCCGTGAACACCCTGAATATATAGCACACATGTTGTATATATGATATAATAAAGCCCAAATAATATACTGTCATAAATCTCAATTCCTCAGGGCTTAAGCGGCTCTTTCTGCGGAAACTTTTGCCTTTATTAGGCTGTTATCTCAGGTGGTAATAAATAAAGGCTATAGAGGGTGTCCCGGTGTCCCCTCACCCTCTCATATTACTTTCTAACATTTTTACCCCTTATTTGGAGTTTTCGAAGCAAAAATACATTGATCAAGAACCCTGTTATCCTTATGAATTCTCGTAACCCTTTCGCTTCTTTGAAAATCAGCGGTTTTTCTCAAAATTAAAAATTAGAGACATCTCAAGACGAGTTGATGACGCGCGTTACAAGAGAAGCGCGAGCTACAATTATTCGTGCTTAATGGATGTCCGTGTCGCATCTGCCAAATTGAAGGCGCGATTGTGTGAGGCGTGAACTTATAGGGTCTCATTCTATGCTGCCAATTAGGTCTCGCTTATTCAATCCGAAAGAGAAGTTTAAAAACGAGGCCTTGAATGCGTCCCTCCTATATTCGGCTGGTTCGTCACGTATATCCCTTTGCAAAGAAGACAAATGGTCACAAACACATTACAGAAAAGAACAAGAGAATGGACGCGCGTCGATGGCGGCGCAGAGATACAACTATACGTGCTCGATGGATGTCCGTGTTGCATCCGCAAAATTGAAGGCGCGATGGCGGCACAAGGCGTGAACTCGCTATGCTTCGCGCAATGCTGCCGAAGAAGTGTCGCTCATGTTCGGGAGAAAATGAAAAAAGAGACCCGAATACGTCTCTCGTATCTTCGGCTGTGTCGAAACTCTATATTGTTTCTTAAATTTGATATTGATTCTCTTTTCCCGATGCATTTGTATAGACGTATATCTGAAGCTCGTATTAGGACCGGTTCCATACAATCCGCGGGCCAAGTGTTTTTATCAAGTACCGGGTCAATTTGACTCGACTTGTGCATTTAATGGTTATGATAAACGAATTTAAAAAAAATCGATTCAGTGGACTGAATGGTTTGTTTGAGCAAACAACATAACTTAGTTGTGAGTACCTATTGTGTATGTTACATATTGCTCGAACAGTTCGGGTTTATTGAACTTTTTTTTTCAGTGTTAGAAGCCGATTATAAAGTTCGTAACGCTCTTGGGGTAAGGTGGTTGATGAGTGCGTTACGCCATTTTGTTCTTATGTGTTAAAAGATAGATACTACTTCAAGAAATTTGTTACAAGGGGGAGGGGGGGGGCATAAAATCCCAAATTTAGCCCTACGTATTCGACGAACGGCCCCTAAAAAAAGAAGATGAAAACAATCTCAAGCTGTTTTCAAATGTCTCATCACCATCAACTGGAAATCGCTTAAGTATCTTTAACCGTGAAGTTGATCTGTTTTCATCCCAACAAATGATTTATTTATTTATTTTTTTTTTTTTTGGTGTGTGTCGCATTAGGTGGTTTTAAAATTTGCAAGGAAACACCCAGATCCGTAGTGACGTTTTGATGACGTTAAAATTTGGGAACGTTGCCGTTGGGATACGTTGTTTCAGAGGTTTTTTTCGCAATTTATTTGGCTTCGATCTCTTTTTTTACCTAGTAAGTTAGGAATCTACAGATATCTATAGACGTATGCGTTTTTATCAGAGAGACAGGCTCTCAGGGATTAAGTCCAAGTGGCATCTGTTTCTGCAGATCCACTCGTCAGTTCCGTGAAAATTTGACGCCAACATCGGGATTCGAACCCGGGACCCATTGACTTGTTTCGGAGTTGAGTCGTGGTATTCTTGCCTCGTATGAGGAGTGGAAATGGTGAGATTTATATCGATAAAAGCTACAAAACTGAACGGGCGGTAACACGCGGTGGCTCGGATTTGGGTCAAGTCTTGTTTGAGTTGAGACGTTCCTCAGTCTCAGGCTGCTCGCAAAGGGAGGCTCATTGTTATTCCGCGGCGCAGCTACCAATCCAATTCTGCCTTGCGTGGAGCACAAAAACATCTCACCGATGGTCGCGTGAATGTTTGTAATTGTCCCTGGTGAACATAAAATTCGAGGGCCACATAATTTACCCGTGAATGTAGGTTCCGACGGTGGGCGTCGATTCGGCTCTACATGTTTCCTGGCCGTGCACGCTTGAAAAGGGGCGGCGCCAACAGCTAGAGATCGAAATCAAAATTGAGGACATCTTTTGTGAAAGGGCAATTGACGGATCCAGCAAATCGGCAACATTGTTTTTCTCTATTTAAACCAATGGCAATGTATCGATTCTTGGAGGGGCCAGGTGCTTCGACAAGAATCGATTATTTAACATAGGTTTAAATGGAGGGAATCCTGCGTTGCCGAATTCCTGGATTCGCCACTGAAAAGGGCCTGTGTAAGACGCACAATATACTGCCTGTTTCAACAAAAACATCTTAAAATAAAATCATCATACATAAGAGCCACTTTCGCGACACTCTTTGGCGCTCTCTAGAGTGGGGAAGCGTGAATGATTGATTTCCCCATTTAAAGCTTCGAGAGCTTCGATCGAGAATCGATCGACGTGTTCGTTGCGAACACCCTGTCTATCGATATTTTCCCAAAGGTTTAAATAGCAGATCAATCCATAAATCGTAAAGGACATCACGCCATCGGCACTCTGGCCCTTACAGCCACCATAGTCCCCTTTCCTCGCATTTTCTTTTTCGGAGTAAGGAAAACACAACATAGTAAAGTAAAATATGAAAATTTCACGACTTTTAGACTTTTCTGACGTTCTTACCTGGATTATCGTCAGTTTTATCTGCAATATTTGTACTCGCTGTCAGTTGGCTCAATCATTCGTGTGCGGAAAACCCTTAACGAGTTTTTCTGCTTCCTCGTCTTTATTATAATATTATATATTTAGATTAGATACCTATTTTAATTCCATAACCACGGACAGTGTCAGAAAATCCGATTTTTTAGGATACTTGACAAATATCCACGTTCCTTTCGGTCTGACGTCTCTATCGGTTCCATGTATTTGCCAGTGTTCAAAGCTCTCTGCGCAAGATAGGCCAATTAATTGGAACTCGCAAAGCAGCGCAAGAGCCGCATTGTGCGGTGTAGCTGGGATCTTTCGAGTTTTGCGGCTACTAGGTTGCCGAATTGTGCTAAAAATCGGCAGTTTCCCCATATCACTCAATGTACGGTTAAGGAATTTTATCACACAATATGACAACTGTACTGCCACAAAGTCCGGGACTTTGGAGCCGGCCCGCAATTTTTTTGCCATCGAGTTGTTCGATTCTCGTTAACAGAGGAACAAAAGGGAAAGGTGCTCTGTGGAGTCACCCTCCCTCCCCCTTCGCCCCTTTCATCACACCAGTCGCTAATGAGTCTCCCTTAATGATCTGAAACCCGTTTAAACTGGCGCTACAATTGGATTGCAGAATTACGCCGCTTTTCCGCCTGCATGGGATTCAGAATAGGTGTGGTTTATGCGAAGAGGAACAACGTCACAGACTAAACTTTAAAAATACGCCTTTTTAAATGCAGCGTTTGAAAATCTCTGTGATTGTTCAATCATTTTATCGACTCCTGGTCGATGGAAGGTTCATTCCAAGGCTTCAAAATTGACACAACCAATGCAATTTTTTGCAAGGATATGACTGAAAAATTTTCATCCGAAATTTTGCTAATTTTACGTAATTACAAGAGGATAAACAAAAACAATTGGACTGCATTTTGCAATTTGGAACTATAGATTCTGGCCCGGTTTAAAAACAACGTTTGTGCCATTGGTTTCCCGAAGCACATAAGTGTTTTTTCACACAAGCCAGAATCTGTAGTTCCAAATTGCAAAATGCAGTCCAATTATAAGTAAAAAATGGTCCATGGTTTTCTGAAAAACGTAGAATATTTGAGTGGAAATTTCGCAGCGTTCATTTATCGTTACGTTCTTTCGTCTTAAGAGCGACAATCTGTGACTGTCCACAAGAGAGTCCGCCCCATAGTAACGAAAAGCTCGATAGCTCAATTTTAATACCACTCTCTCTCGAATCAAAAAAAAAAAATCGCTTTTAACAAGAAGAAAGTTCCTCACACCAAACAGAAACTTGCTTCACCCGAGCGATTATGCTTCATTTGAGAGGAAATTTTCTCAACATTAAATGCGAGTCAATTTTTTACAGTGTCCACGTCCAGGATTCTAAGAATAGAAGAAGGTTATTGGATAGAGAAAAGGTCGGAAAGCTGTATTTTTTAGGGTAAACTGAGGGATTTGGAGGACAAGGCGCATAAGTGTAGTTTTAAAAAAAATTGAGATATTAATGATTTCGAGCAAAACTAGTCTTAGTGCATATCTTGTGAAACATTTGCTCCTAAATTCCAATTTTTAAGCATCAAAAAGTCAATTTGAACTTTTTTCCTCCATAAGGATTTCGCCATGTAATTTTGAAACTTCAAACACATATTTCTCGAAGTAGCAGAAATTGCACTTATGCCCCTTGTCCTCCAAGCCCCTGAACTGTTACAGAAATTCTCTGACCCTTTACAAAAGTCAATGTTCAGCGTGAAAAGTTGATCCCGGAAATCTTTGCATTATTGCCGAATCACCATTCAGATCCTTAAAATTTGAGTGGTAGGTCATCAAATATATACATATTTTTTTTTAAATTTTAAAGAACACGTCAAGAGTACTTATTGTGCGTTCAAGAAACTAAGTTCGGAGATGGAAAACCAGATTCACCTCGTGACTTGTTCGAAGTATGCACCAATGTTGACTTATAACTGAAAATTAAATTACATTACTTCATTTCTTTGGACAACAGTTTCGTTCTTTTTTGACTGACACCACTTGAACTGATCATAACGCCATTTCTACAAAAATGTCACTTGGTATTCTGCCATACTAAGGAAGAACGCCATAAGAACATTCGAGAGTTGCCAAATTTCCCTTGATATAACATGTCTTTTTTTACAACATTCATGCATATTTTTCCTTGAAATGTTCAGATATTTTAGATTGAATTGCGTACGAAATTGTCTGAAAATTTTGGAAAATATCCGCAATTTTCCCGGTAAATTTGGGTTTTATCGGAGGAAACTTGGCAACGTCTGAAGGCTCATACGGCGTTCTTCCTTAGCACGGCAGTATTATACTATGACGCTTTCGATCTATAAACAATAACGCAATTCATTCTTCGTGGACTTCATCTCTTCTTGTTTTTGTTCTGTTTTATAGGCAGTTTCGGACGCCATGCTAGTAGAACTGATGAAGTGCTTTATGGAAGCATACGACGATAATGAGGATGGAAAAATTGACATCAGAGAGGTAAGAATCACTCAATTTTTTACCTTCCAAATTACAGTTTTCAATGTAGAGGGAAGAAATGAAGATTTCAATGTACGATTAACTGGTCATATAATCGTCTTTTTAGAGCTCATTACATTTTTCTTGAATCGTAAATGCCTCTCACCTCCTTTAATAAAAAATGAGGGAAAATCTAATTTGAAAATAATTATAATTAACTTTAACTTCAGACTTATTACCTAAGCTATTTTTCCTGATTTAAGACGTTATCTCTTCTTAGGGGTGCCTTAATAAGAAAGATAAAATTATAATGCTTTAATATTTGTCTTTTCAGCTGGCACATTTGCTACCGATGGAGGAAAATTTCCTTTTGCTCTTCAGATTTGACAACCCTCTCGAATCAAGCGTAGAATTCATGAAGGTGAGTTCCTTTTTTTCAGCTGTCTTATGTACTCACAAACACAAATAATAGATTTTTTCGAGGTCCTTCCTGATGAAGAATTACTGCTGCCAAATCACACAACTTAGCATCCCATGGACAACCTATACCTATTCCATATGAGTGATATAATTGTATAACCACAAAAAAGAAGTACCTGCATAAAATCCATACTAGGATGGATCCATCTCTTGTGGGGATTTTAGTTCAACGAACTTTATCGTAAACTAAACGCTTTTCTTTTGAGTGTGTTTTGTCTTTGAAAATATTCAATTGATTTGCCGTGTTCAGCATAAAACATCCATGAGGAGACGAGACGTGTTCTATGATGCTCAAATTCTAATCCCGCCCCAAATGGGCCGATACTATTGATCCTAACCGAAACGTGTTCGCAGCATTCATAACAAGACTCGACAGTATTCAGCCCTCGGAACTTTCTCGGGCCAAAATTGTGAAGTAGAATAGGGAGAGAGAGACCTCCGGGGGAGGAGGGGGGTGATCCGCAAAAATGAAGGACCTCGTTACGTGTGTAAACCTTGCAACTTACCGAATCGGATTCTCCTTGTGCCTTGTGCCTCGTAAAGATGTCGCTAAAAGTAGGTCACCCAATTTTCAGCCTCTGCAGCGCTGCAGCGCTGCAGAGAGACCCCAGCCCCAGAGTTCAGCTGATGTACCCCCCCCCCCCTACCAGCCACCCTCCCGTACCTTTCAGTGCTCAAAGCCCTCACCGCGTGCATATCTGTTGCAACCCCTTGCCTAGCCTGCTGAAACGGTGCCTTTGTCAAACGTTATCAGATACATCGCATATATCCAAATTGCATCTACTGCTCTGCTGGTCGGTATTTTGAGCTGTTTCAGGGGCGTATTTTTCTACGTTTATTAAATGTAAACCTCCCTGAGAAATTATATATACTATTCTTTTACACAAGTATGAAAAGAGAGATGAGATAACAGGGTGATTTCACTCATACCTAAAATAGGTTGGAGGGGGTATGGTCGGACGACTAGGAACCATGCTAACATTTTATACAAGACTTAAAGACCATAGAGTCAGATCTGCCCTTGGAGTGGTCAGCTACCATGGCTTGCGACGCCTAGGGGAGTATGAAATAATTTTATTGAAAACACGATGATATTCATAGATACAAGACAAATACAATATACATACATTTAGGCGAAAATGCGTAAGATGTGTGGGATACTTTTAAAACCGACAAGTTTTAAGTCCTGATAATCCCGCTGTCGATCAGAAAAAACGAAAATAAATACAAAAAAAATTAACAAGATAACAAAAGCTTAAAACCTACACCGGCGTGTCAAATAAAAACGCTTCATGAACATTCAAATGTTGCCGAATTTCTGCTGATAATAACCAAATTCTCATGAGGATTCGTGTATATTTTCTACAAAATTTTTCACCGAATTTTGATCAGATTTAACGTCCTTTTTCTTAACAGCTCCTAGATGTGTATTCATGACTCTTTTCGGAAATAAATATTTTATCAATTATGTCTAAATGTTATTAAGACGTTTATCCTCAGTAAAGTGCGTATCTTATTCCCATGGTAGAAAAATATTAAAGCATCGAAAACCAATGTTTTAGACCGGCACGCTGCTGACCTAAAGTGTTAAAACTTCGAACTAATTTTAAGTTCTTAAAATTTTTTATTTTTATGCTCAGAATCATTGTGAGAGGTTATTGAAAAGATCCGAAATGCATCTTATATAGTTCAAGATTGCTTTTTTTTTTTTTTTTTTTTTTTTTTTTTTTTTAAGTTTCTCGAAACTGAATATTTTGAAGTCGTTGATCTATTCATCGTCACATAATAAACTAATGCTTCTTTTTCATTTAAATTTTGTGCAAAAACTGATTTTTGTTCTTCGCACAAATTTCAGATATGGCGCGAGTATGATACAGATGGCAGTGGATACATCGAAGCAGATGAATTAAAGGTAAGGTCAAGATAATTATTGACAGATATTCAAATAATTAATCTTGGGTTTTTTATATCAGCACCCGAGAGTCAAAAGGTACTTAACTCCATTTTATAAGTCACTCCGAGTAATAAGGGAAAAGCTGTGCGCCGGTCCCATTGATTCCAGTTTAAATCACAATTTTTGAAATTCCGTATCTATCATAACCGGCGGAAGATAGGACAACCACATCTTCCACAAACGGAACCGTTATTGAAGATTTCTAAAACGGCACTAACTAGATTTCTAAAAAATTTGAGTTAGGTACCTTCTGGCTCTGGGGCACTGATATATAGAACTTATGAATATTCACTACCCTGGTAAAAATTTGCAGTAGAATCTGTGTTCCAAAATACCATAGACCTACAGCTGGCTGTAAGATTTCCAATAGCTTCTACAGCCGGCTTTACAATTTCTTATAGCCTTTTATAGCCGATGGGGACTAAGCAACAGCCAGACGATAAAGTTTATGCTAAACGTTACTAAATACGGATACCAGGACTTCGTTAGTTTTTGGACTGCCGCTCTCTTTTTGTGCCGTAGTATCTTGATTTATTTTGCGAGGAAAGCTCCGTACTTTTGAAGGATGCCTGCCATTTCTAATATGTTGGAGCACCTTCAATTTCGTATGCTACTGTGTAATACTTCTGGTGTGAAATAGTTGCCTCAAGCGCCGTGGGCGGCACGCTGCGGCGCGGCGGGCGGGCAGCCAGCGCGAAACGCGCATTGGCGCCTACAAACCTAACAGGGATTCTTCACGCATTGCGCAATGCGTGAAGTATCCCTATTAGGTTTGTAGGCGCCAGTGCGTCGCCGCTCCGCTTTGTGTTAGGCTCTAATATTTAATCTCGCGGAGTCAGCATTTTTCAACTCATGATTTTGCAATGTTTGCACACTCTGTATGGATTATACTCATTTTAATTGATGAAAAAAAATATGTTTTAAAGGAAAATATAATGTGTGTTTTGTAAATATTAAGGTAGTTCTACACAATTTCTTATAGCCTTTTATAGCCAATGGCGATAAAGTGTAATGCCCGGCGATAGGAACTATAGCAGGACTGTATACTTTTTTATAGCTTCAAATAGCCCGGCTACATGATTTGCTCCGCTTTCTACAGCCAGCTTTATGATTTTCAATAGCCTTCTTTTGTCGGCTATAAAAACTCCTATGGTATTTTAAAACGCAGCTCCTATCGCCAATTTTTACCAGGGTACACTAAGTTAAGACCTCTAATAGCTATTTCTGCTCCCCCGAAACTATACCTATAATCACCAGAAAATCTCTACTGCGGGCCGATTATTGAAACTAATAGACAAAGCTATAGATAAAGACGACAAAAGGTATTTACAGGGATCCTATTGGTGGAAGCGGGTGGTGGCAATGGACATAGGAGGTAAGTATTGGACTAACTAATGGCATCAAAGACCCGACAGTTAGTCCATCATTTTCTTCCTTAGTCTATAAGAACAAACCATGTCAACCAATAGGATCGCTCCATACTCCCTATGTCTTCTTTGTCTATCGCTTTGTCTATCAGTTTCAATAATCGGCCCGCTGGTCGCTACGCGACCCAACCATCATAGATGCGTACATCTGCGGGACGATTATTGAAATCGGGCGACAAAGCTCAATCGACTCTATGTCGTGTCGATTCGGTTAGCGGAGAGCGATTTTTGAACCTCTCGGACCCGATACGACAAGACTTCGAGTGGATAAGACCAAGCACCTGACTTGGCTAACACATGGTTGGTCATCGGAATCGGACGATCGGATACTCAGCGCTGCGCAATGTGGACTATACAAACGCACTTGATTTCGTTGGGATGAATCTCAAATAAAAATGTGCACTTTTTCACTTCATAAATTCATTTTTCACTGAATCGTGCGAAAATAATTTGAGGTTATTCGTCGACTAAGCCTTTGTCGGGTGCTTAAGAGATCCCTTTCGCTTGTTGGCGCTTTGTCGCCTCTTAGTCTATGAACCGACAAGACATGGATTTCAAAAATCGCATATTCCACTCAGTCGATTGCGCGACACGACAAAGCGGCGACATGGAGTCGATGTCATTTCAATAATCGCCCTTCTGCGGGCCGATTATTGAAATTAATAGACAGAGCTGTAGACAAAGATGACAAAAGGGATATGGAGGGAACCTATAGGTGGAGGCAGGTGGTTGCAATGGAAAAAGGCAGTAGGTAACAGACTAACTAACTGCAACTCACGAGGAACCCAACAGCTAGTCCATCATTTTCTCCTTTAGTCTGTATGAGCCACACTTTTCAACCAATAGGATCGCTCCATACCCCCTATGTATTCTTTGTCTATAGTTTTGTCTATATCGATTTCAATAATCAGCCCGCAGTTCGGTTAACATGTGCAATATCATCATAACAGTAATAATATGCCGAGTAGTGTGGTCTTAAGTTAGGTTCGGAGCAATGATGCAACTAAAATAACTCTGGGGCAAGGCTGAGAGTATCCATCACACTTGAAGGCGCGCTGAGTTTCATGTAGCTCATGAGTTGTACCACAACAGTTGGAACGAATGTGTGCCGTTTTTTGGCTCTTTTATCAATGAAGACTTATCTCTGAAGGAACGACATATACGTGAAACTAGTCGTTGCAGGGGTCGACTTTGAAACGCGGTCTGAACCCTGAAAGGGCCCCTTCGTGATGATGATGGAAAAAAAATATCCAAGAGAACCAGCTGTGTACAATGAGCAAAGTTTGTCATGTTTCGCCCCGAGTATTGAAAGTAAACGCGCCAGAGTCGCGCGAAGAGCGAAGTACATGCAATTTTAGTAGGGTGACGGTATGATAGAAATGCATTGCGACCGAACTCGCCGAAAGTTACCCGCATAAAAAACCATTCGTCCCACTTTGAACACTGCTCGAGCTCGATAGGGAACACGGGGTATGGAAGATGAGGCACTCCTTACGGTTAAGATATTTTAGTCTCTGAGGTACGAATGGGCCAGTTGCACTGATGACAGCATCGTGTCTTGATTATTGATTCTTGTAAGTTAGCTAAAAATAATAAGATCTGTCCAAACAGCAACTTTCTACGTTCAGTATTAGCCGAGATATCGCCCTTTGAAAAGTCGGGTTTTTGACGTCATCCACCGCGGTAGTGTTATCTTATTATTTTTATCATACAAGAATCATGCATCCAAACACGATTCCGTGACCAAAGCAACTAACCCACTGTATGGATTGGTTCATCCAATAATTTTATTTTAGAGATTTTTAACTTCCGTGCGACACAAATAAAACAGGAGACGAAAGAGGGCGAAAACTACATTTTACTTATGTATTGCTATGATGTCTGTTGCGTCGATGTCTCGGTGCCTCGAAGGTTCATTCCCGGTCAACTAGGGAGGTTTTTTCGGGACATGGGAGAGGATAAGGCGATTCAAATCAAATTATCCGCGATAATAAAGCCGTAATTGAAGGACTCTGGCGAGGAGAAAAACCCCGAGGTGGGGGGCGGGGAGGGGGAACGACAGAGGGCCGTTATATTTACGGTTGAAGTTGGCTGAAATGGAGCAATAAAAGCATTGCCGTCGTGAGCGATAAGATGACAAGTTTTAATAACAATGACATTAAAAACGAGTCATTATTATGTGCTCCTGCTTTACGACAAAATGGCGATGAGCTGTGCCCCCCACCCCCTGCCCGGATTTTATCCGCAATATATGCCGGGATCCCTGATCCTACGTGGCGGCCGTCAGGACGAATCGCGTCGCAGTGCCTGTTGCCTGGTCGACCGACGCGACACCGGAAAAGCCTCTACTTGGCGAACCCGCGTTCCCGGCTCGAGCGGAGCTGTGGCAAAGTTCCGGCACGGCGGCGGCACTACTCGGCTTCCGGAAAAGCCTCGTCAAGCACAGCGCCGCGCCGCACACTGGGCGGATTACCTCACATTCCGGCCAAAGTATTACGAGCGCCATGCGACGTTTCCAAATGTCCATCTTTTACTATGATACATCAAAGACACCAAAATCCGGGATAAATCACCTTGAGGCACTTTCTGACTAAATTCTTGTCAAACTCCTACCGAGAGTAAATTCAATATTTACCATCTCCGTCAGTGAAAGAGGCTGCTACTTGGGAACCCGCGACATGTGGAAATTGTCACCTTCCGGCCAAAATATGACAGGCGCCATGCGACGTTTCCGAATTTCCATGATTTGCTATGGTACATCGCACGCTAGTTCAAAGTCGCCACAATCCTGGATAAATCACATTGAGGCACTTTCTGCCTAACTTCTTGTCTAATTCCTTACGAGAGTAAATTCAATAAAATTTACCATCTCCGTTAGTGAAAGAGACTGATACTTGGAAACCCACGACATGTGGAAATTGTCACCTTCCGGCCAAAATATGACAGGCGCCATGCGACGTCTCCAAATTTCCATGATTTGCTATGATACACACTGAGAAAAAACTATGGCTTATAAACCTATTAGAGGTAAATATGGAACACCACTAATAGTAGTACCTCTACATATAATAATAGCACATATACCTTAGTTATGGTCTCTGTACCTTAATTAGGTACAGAGACCTTAGTATGGTTCACAGACCGAGAATCATTAGTTTATTTACGACTATTATAGGTGTTCCATATTTACCACTAATAGGTTTATAAACCATAGCTTTTTCTCAGTGCATCGCACGCTAGTTCAAAGACGCTACAGTCTGGGATAAATCACATTTAGGCACTTTCTGCCTAACTTCTTGTCAAACTCCTACCGAGATTAAATTCAATAAAATTTACCATCTCCGTCAGTGAAAGAGACTGATACTTGGGAACCCGCGACTTGATGAAATCGTCACCTTCTGGCCAAAGTATCACAAGCTCTATGCGACGTTTCAAAATTTCCGCCGTCATTTTGTTTTTTTTTTTCATAGAAATTGTTGGTGAATCTGTTTGAAAATTCCACTGAATTTCGTTCGTGCTGTCGATAATATTCAGTGAAATTTTCAAACAGATTGAACCAACGATTTCTTCCTAAAAAAATAAAAAGGCGGCGGAAAATTTGAAACGTCGCATGCCGCTTGTGATATTTTGGCCGGAGGGTGAAGAGTTGTTTATTAGGAACACCATGAATACAGCCCCCCAGGTAAAAAAGACTGATACTTGGGAACCCGCGACATGTTGAAATTGTCACCTTCCGGCCAAAGTACCACAAGCGCCATGCGACGTTTCAAAATTTCCACCGCAAATTTATTTTCTTACAGAGGCATTGTCGGTTGAATCTGTTTGAAAAGTTCATTGAATTATATCGGCAGCACAAAGAAAATTCAGTAAAATTCTCGGACAGTTTCGTTGAACAACTTCTCTGTGAAAAAATAAAATGGCGGCGGAAATATTGAGACGCCGCATGGTGCTCGTGATACTTTGGCCGGAAGGTGACAGTTTCATGATGTTGCTGGTTCCCAATTATCAGTCTCTTTCACTAACGGAGATGGTAAATTTTATTGAATTTACTCTCGTAAGGAGTTTGACAAGAAGTTAGGCAGAAAGTGCCGTAATGTGATTTATCCCGGATTGTGGCGTCGTTGAATTGTTCTAATATTGATAGTTTATCCCATTTCTAAAACTCAAATTGTAAATAATTTAATTTCTAAGTATTGAATGTAGGTATCTCTATCATAATTATTATTTTAACATTCTAATTCACTAAAATGGACGTATTTCTATCAAACGGAACTATGTGCATTATGACGTGAGCCCTGTTATGCACATATTCTTCTGGGTCTCAGGGCTCATGTCTTAATGCACATAGTTCCATTTGGCAGAAATACGTCCAAATAATACACAAGGCTTCACAGCTCAGAGAGGTTGATCTTGCATCATTTGGCGCAGAGGACAGGCAGCTTTCCCAAAGATTGATCCTTTGACAGCAATGCAAAGTTTGAGGACGAAAAACGGGAAATTCGAAAGAGACCCGCTTTAAAGTTTGCCGGCGCGTTGCCAATCTTGGGAACGATCGATTCACCTCAAACGCTCATAACATCATTAATAATGCAAATTATGGCTTGGAACTTCGACCAAAAGTTTTTGAGAGTATATGGAAGTGTTTGGCATTGAAAACTCAAAATCGATATTTCGAGACCCCAAACCGGTGTTTTCACTGTATCCAGTGAACACTTAAACAGTCTGCGTTTCTGGAAAAAGTCACACTTTATTTACACTCGTCACATTTAGGGACATTTTCAGTCTCATAAGCTGAATCCATGAGTGAATGATGGAAGTACTACCATACAGTACAATATGTATAGATGGAAGTTCAACTTTATAGAGTCTCCTAAACTTCCATCTCGCAACATCACATTGAATCGGGTTTCGATTGTTAAATTAGATAGATGGTAAAGTGGTAATATGGTGGACAATGTGGAGAAAAAGTAGTTAACAGGAAAATTGCACGGGTTTGAAAGATTGACAGGAAATGATAAGATTCGTCCAAACACTAAATATCGACGTCCATCCGTCGTCCAGTATCAACGGAGAATAACCGCTTGAACAACATATATGAAGACGCCAGCCATCGCGTCAATGAATCATGCGGTTTCTCCGCACCGTTGTCCCATTAATGATGAACATAGACCGACCACAATCTTTTGCATCACAAATCAATTTATTTTTTGGTTTTTTTTTTTTTTTCAGGAAACGCTCGACACGGAAACACCAGATCATGTGACATCAGCGGCAGCCCAAAACTTGAAAACACTAGCGTCTCTGATTGTGAGTCTGCATGAATATTCTGATCGAAAGCTTGAAACAATAATCACTTGTTGTTTCTTCTGAAACTATTGTTCCGACTTTCGATCGGAATATTCAGACTCGGAGGTGCTGGTGTTTTCAAGTTTAAAGCTGACGTTGATTTCACATTATCTGGTGTTTTCATGTTCGGGCGTTTCCTGAAAAATAACACGGTTTCTTCGATTTTTAATGATGCCTATTGATAAGCTACATATTACGGTATAATTGATATGTGGAGGGGAAGAATAGCATTTTAGGGATTTCGAGAAAAGAGAGTTGAATGTTGAAAATTTCCTTGGGGCTTCACTGGAAAAAAAAATCCGTGCTGTGAACAAAACATTCGGTTGCTGAGAGCTCTATTTTCAGTCCAAGTTTTGTAAGTTTGATCAAATGAATCGAAAATTCAGTTAGATGACCCAAAAGATCAGTCTGACGAGCCGTATACGTCGATCGATATCGAACATCAAACTTTCGGTGACATCTATAACTTTTTCTTATTGTGTTCAAATCTCCAAAAAAATTGATTCATCGTTGAGAAGCTAAAATTTGATTTTAAACGGTCAAATTTTTACGGCAACAGTTTAGCGATTGAGAAATTAATTTTTTTAAAATCACTCATACTTCGATATTTCCCTCCCCCCCCCCCAAAAAAAATATCGCTTTTCTACTCCTTCATCGAGGGCCCCGGTAATAATGATCGGAAATATTTCTTGCTAGTCTTCATGCCGACGAAACATTTTCGGCAACAGAAAGCTCAATAAAGCCTCAAAGTGATGTATGGAACAAGGGCGTATGCAACGATTCTCGATATCCTGTGGGAGTCGCAGGGGAATGTAGCCACAATGTTCCGTTTTAGTATACTCTCAAAAACCTGTTTTTCCAAACTAATCAAAGTTCGCGCAAAAATATCGGCTAGAACCAGCGTCATGCACATTTGAACTTTCGAATGCAATTGCCTGGAAACTACTTTTTCGGGCACACGCCCTTGTTCCAAAGAACTCCTCGAATGATTTCTAGAGAGTAGTTCTATCCAGCTGCATCCACCGATTGTCTCACTGTGTCTCGACGCTTTACGACTTTCGAGCGAACTTCAGGAGGTATGTTGGGTAAATAATCAAAGAGTAAATAAACTCCGAGCTCGCTGGGACATTTTATTTACGACGCTCCTCCGTTTTTTAACATTCATACCAATCTCGAAAAAACTCCTGTCCTATCTTATATTTCACAAAAGAAGAAATTCGTGTTACGTTTATTGATCTACAAAACTACGCGAGCATGATAAAATGCATACTCAGCGGTAGAGGATAAAAAGAACAAAGAACAAAACACAGAAAAAATGGGTTACCGAAGCTAAAGATTAGACCGTTTTGAAAGGCTGGAACATTTCGGGATCCTAACAACCCCTTTCAGCAGGAGAAAATCAAGAATCCAACCTACCCTATTTATTCTGTTGAGACTGAAGTTGTTAGGACTTCAGATCATCCCAGCTTTTTGATAAGACTAATTTGCCTAGTATTATATTTTTGGGGCTAATCTAAAAATGGGGATACACCTTTACAGAAACCACTTGTTCATTTCGAGTTAATGCCTGCCGACAGCTAAAAGATCTTGGAAATGTTGAATTGTTGACCTAATTGATAGATATTGAAATGTAGGTTGCCAAGTGCTAGAAATAATGTAAAATTTTTGATAGGAAAAACTTTTACATTATTTCCAGCACTTGGCTACCTACATTTCAATATACATAAAATCAGAGCTACTCCCTTTTGGACATTGTTTTCACAATTTTTGCTGAACTTGCTATCAATAAATAGATATCATCTGCCAAGAAATAATTATTTGGTGAGCTAAAGGACTTATTTGTGGTCCCGATTTTGGCAATTTCAGAGTCACGGACAAAAAGAGAAAATCTCAGAACTGAGGATTTTCGATAGATTTAAATCAGAAAATTTGTGCTGATGTTAGATCTTACGTACCCGGAATGCCTAATCAAATTTCATAAAGGGTACCTTTTGCTCACTTTCATTTAATTTTATATTTCCTTTTGCTGTTATTCTTTCCTAATTTCCACAAGCCAAACACGGCGCTTTTCCAATTAATTCCCTCTTTTTCTTTATTGCAGAACTTTCTACGTGATTTGCTGAAGGAAGCAAAGAAAATGAACGACGTCTCTGAGGATAAATTAATTGAATACACAGACACAATGGTAAGCCTCCATTTCTTTTTTTTAACCTTTCACCCGACGCACAGTGGATCGAGTCAATACGAGAAGTCGGACAAAATTTGGAAACTTTAAACGCTCATAACTCCGTGCGTGGCGCCGAGAGCAATGATGATGAGGACTTGAGATGAAAAGGCAAAGCCCTCGGCGCGCCGGTCAGCAATCTATCGCCTACAAGAATCCATGAATACTTCACGCATTGCGTCAAACACAGTGCGGTCAGCAGTGGTTAGCGTGAAACGCATAGCGCCTACAAGACTGTATGAATACTGCTCGCATTGCGCCAAACTCATTGTCAGTGCGGTCAGCGGTCAGCGTGAAACGCTTAGCGCCTACAAGACTGCTGGGATACTTCACGCATTGCGCCAAACGCAGTGCGGTCGGATCGAGTCAATGGAAGAGGTCGGTCAAAATTTGGAACCTGTAAACGCTTATAACTTCGTTTATACAAAACTTTGAGGGTCTAAAAGTGGTTCCATTGGTTTCTTCGTGACATTTATTTTAGTAACACCCCTTGAACATTAAAATGTGACGAAATAAACATCGAAAGTCGCGTTTCTGTCAAAAATTTCATGTCCAACCTCTCTACTGGGCCTGTTGCAAACTTTTGGTAGAGCAAAAATAGGAGTTGTTACTTATAGAAAGTGTCTCAAAATTCACGATGAGCGCATCGGCAAAGTCTGAAATGCACTCTTTACTTCACAATTTGCATAAGAAATTTGCGTTTTTTCGAGCTTCCTGCTTCAAAAACGATACCACGGCACAGGTGAATATTTCTTCAGAGGAGTCATTCCATCCAACCCCTGCTCACAAGGATACTACGCAATGTTCAACATAGCCGACGCCAATCCGCCAAAACACATGTAACGGTATGATTCTAACCACCTGATAACAATCGGCATGGTTGCATTCACATTTTTCTCGCGTTGATAGATATCCGCCTTGATTGACGAGGCGAAGCTTAAAAAATGGGGATTTCTTACGCATATCGTGAAGTTAAGAGTGCATTTCAGACTTTACCGATGCACTCATTGTGAGTTTTGAGACATTATCTATAGGAGGCAACTCTTACTTGGACCGCGTTCGACAGAAAGGAACCAAGCCACATCAGCTATTGCCAAATTTAATCGGGCAATTTAATTTTTTACATGAAAACAGTTGTACGGATTTTTGTGCAAATTTCTATGAATTTTCTCCATAATACAAAGTAAATTTCTTAAAATTTTCAAAGGAATCCGCACAAAGGTAAAAAATCGAATTCCCCTGTTAAATTTGGCAATAGCTGATTTGGCTTGGTTCCTTTCTGTTTAACGCGGTCCATTTTTGCTCTAGCAAAAGTTTGCAAGGCCCATTGACTCGATCCACTGTGCAATGTGGTTTCAGAGGTTTTAGGGGAGATAAGAGCCTCCTTTATCCCATCGGGCCGTCCTGCGAATTATCTCCTCGAAAGGTTATATCTAATTTCTTTCCGCGCAAGCATAAAAAAGCAAGGTACCCTCGCTTCCCCGGCGTGGATTTAATATTCAAACATTTTATCTCTATGCTACCCAAAGGTGCCTTCATTGCGGTCCTACTCGACCAACAACGGAGATCTCCATAATGGTTAAAATTCTTTCCGAGGCCTTTTGATTGCTCCGGAAGGTATTGTGGTTTCGTGGGCTTTTATTTGCTCTAATTCCATGCCGTTTTATTAACCCTTCGAAAAGGCGTACTCCGTGCTCGGAACAAAATAGCACAAAGTATTATTAATAGTAAAAAATATTTTGAACGTGAAAAGAGTCATGAGCTTTTTCCTTGACATCGAGTCTTATGCTGCCGTGGTAAGGAAAAACGCCGTATACGCTTTTAGACGTTGCCAAATTTTCTTCGAACAATCTCAAATTTGCGGGAATGTTTAAGAATATTTCTCTTTCGATTTTTCGGAAGATTTCGCTCGAAATTTGATCGAAGGTGTCTGAAAATTTAAAATCAAAATCAAAACAAAACTATCTTTATAAATAAATATTTTCCGATAGGAAATTTGGCAACTTTCGAATGCTCATACGGCGTTTTTCCTTAGCATCGTGCGTTTCTGTTAAACTCGGTTCTCATGAAAATATAGCCGTAGTTTAAAATGTTTTCATTTTTTTCAAAATGACTGTTGATTTCTTTGTGAGTGGGTGTCCATATTTTCTGGAAATAAGACCGTTTTCTATCACCTTTGTGAATTAAAAATTTGAGCAATATCAACTCACACTCACAGAATTAATAAACACTTTTGTTGCATTGAAAATTTTAAAAATATGTATCGGCTAATTTAGCGGATTTTTATCGTGTATTCCAGAATTGTACATTTTGACTCTTTTGGATAGTTTTTACAGTCCAAATTTTTCCGCGTTTTTCCCGCGCGTGTAATCAGAGTGTTTCCTTTTCAAGGACTTTTCTGACGAATATCCTCATTCTAGGATGCACGTAAAAGCGCAAACGGCGGATTAAGCTTTTTGAGGGATTATGACATTCGTTCTGCGTGAATCCCGAGATTCTTATTTCATGTTTTTGTTTTTTTGCAGCTTCAGGTTTTCGATTCCAATCACGATGGGAAACTACAACTATCAGAAATGGCGAAGTAAGAATTTATTATTTCTCTTCATTTTGCGTAGGATTAATAATCACTGTGATAAAACGCACAAAATGGTCTCTGTAGTCTCTCGACAAAGGTATAAACGTTTCTCAGACCGTAAGACCGAGGTTTGCTTTGAAATTTCAAGCCGTTTTTTTCCAAATCAAAAACAGTCGTATGACTAATCTTTGTACTGGTCCATCAATGGAGAATTTCCTCGCAAATTTTTTATTGCTTTCTTCTGAAAGTGCTTAAAGAGCTGATTTCACAGTATTTTTTATACTTTTTTTCTGTTATGGGAAATAGTATAAAAATAGATTTAAAAGTGAGAAAATGCACCGGCAAGTGACGTCATCTGGCGATATTTCCCATTAAAACACATGTATTTTAGCAGATTAGATCATTTTGTCATATCTTCTCCAATAATTGCTCAATTCATGAACCAAGGGTATTCTCGTGTTCAGTTCACTCAGCAGTGTCCACTTAAACACGAAATTTATCAAATTTCAGACACCTGCAAATTCTCTATTAAGCTAATTTGCTGATGCCACTCCTAGTTTTTTTTTTTTTTTTTTAGCTGTTTGTCATAATTTTATAATACGCGCAAATATATAACGATATGGACTTAAATTAAATCACCTATCTGCGCACAAGCTAAACAGAAAAAAACCGAAGTTTTTTTATTAATTACAAATTTGTGTTTCCTCTACAGGCTCCTTCCCGTGAAAGAAAATTTCCTATGTCGGCAAGTTTTCAAAGTAAGTATCTAATTTCATAATATATCTGGTTTTCAACCACAAACCTTAGATTGCTCCTGTTACACGATTTTTTCAAATTCCCTTCATTTTTGTGTTTAGTAAAAAAATTGCTTCATATAATATTCGTAAAGAGTGGTAAAACAATAACTCGAAACTGTCCCTAATAGGTCAAAAACAGTTTTTCAAGACATGTTACAGACATACAATTTAGACCCCCACTGGAATGAAAAACTTGAACAATAATCAGTGAAAATATATGTTTCGATTGGTTTCTTACGATTGTGAGAAAATGAAGTTTCAATTGTTTAGTTGCGAGTGGGACGGAATGAATTTAGCAAAAAATACTAAGATTCGTTCAGAAGCCGCATTTCTAAGTCTTTATTTTCACAAAAGTATCACTCTTTGAAAAAGAAAATTTGAAATTTTTTCAAAAAATAGGAGATAACGTCAATCGGCACGGAGCGCACTGGACCGAGTCGATAGAGGAAGTCGGACAAAATCTGAAAACTTTGGAAGCTTATATTTTCGAAAATATGAAATGAGGAATTTCATTGGTTTTTTCGTAAAATTTCCTTTCAGAAACCCCTTTTGAAATTGAATTTGTGACGAGATTAACATAAACATTTGAAATTTTAGTCAAAAATATCATGTCAGACCTCTTCCATTAGTTCGTTCTACTATGCGGCGTGTGCGAAAGTAGTTGACACAAAGTGCTATGAGGGTGGATGCTCCTTTGCAATGCTGGCGTGCTAAGGAAAAACGCCGCGTGAACCTTCAGGCGTTGCCAAATTTCCTTTGATAAAACACAAATTTCCTAGTAAACATATGAATATTTTCCTTCTAATTTTTCACATAATTTAGATCGCAATTTTACCTAAAGTTCCTGAAAATTTAAAGGTATATAAAATATTCATAACTTGCCTCAAAAATAAACATTTTATCGATGGAAATTTGGCAACTCTCGAATGTTCATACGGCGTTCTTCCTTTGCACGACAGCATGCACATTGCACTGACGCAGTAGGTGACGTCATTCATCAATTGAAAAAGCGATGTCTTTGGAATATCAGCTACAGAAATCCGGCGTTTGAATATTCAGCTTCATTACATACTGATTTTATTTTTTTCTCCCGTAAAGTATGAGATTTGATTCACAAAACAAAATTCCTCGGCCCTTACCCTTTGGCCGATTGTGCACTGTCCAACACTTTTCCTATTCGATCCATTCTTTCGATAACACTCGATTCAACGACGTTATGTACATTGGATCGATGTACATTTTTATTAATCTGTAGAAACACCACCTGGTGTCGAAGTTTAACTTTAAATCTACCATCATGTTATTTACAATGTTGCATCTCTCTTGATTGAATTATTGTGTGTTTGCCAGTATGGAGATGAGGTAAGTCATCGATTTTTAAAGGATCGCCGTACGGAGGTATAAGTAGTTTTGTATGTATAATCGCTTGCTGCTGGAGGAACAAATTTATTAGCTGCGATAATGAATGATAATTGCTATTTTGCCTCGTTATTTTATCCACTGTATAGAAATTATAGTAACCTGCTGGCAAGTTACTTCAAAAGGGGTCATTTCAATAATAATTTTTTAAATTTTACGGATCCGGTACTGAAAACCGAAAATTACCTATAAAGATAAAATATGATACCTCATTAGATTTGACAATTTGTATTTTTTTTTCAAAATCATGATGTATATTTTCAGATGTTCATTAATTGTAAAGAGAGATCCTTTTAAAGTGTAGAGAATTCTAGAAATCAGGAACTGTTCTACGAGTAGTTTTAATTAATAGTAGATTCGAATACAAAAAATTAAACAATATATTCCAAGATAATTATGATAGTATTTGAGCAGAAAAAAGTCGGACAAGGAAACTTTGTTTTCGTTTCAATCATTGGTTTGAATTTTACTGAAATATCGAGTCATTTTTTTTTCAGTAAATCACGTAAAATAAAATATATTTACATGCACAACAGCCACCTTTACAGCGTTCTATGGCGCTCTGCGCCGCCTATCCGTCATAGACCTTTATCCTCCGGAAGTCCTCCTGAAGACGCAGTTAAAGACAATAAAAGACATTTAGATACATCAAAATATTTAAGATATTATAACATTACTACCCACTAGATCTGACAATTTAAATAGTTTTGACTGCATTCAGTAGCATTGTTTCATAACAAGAGCATGCCGGCTGCATAGCAGTTCTCATTATTCCTCATTTTGTGAACATTTCATCAGTGCGAATTTTTTTCGATATCAATTTTTTAGTGACGTAAATAAATTGTTTAAGTTGTGATTAGTAACGTTGACAAATAGATGGACGTTTGGCATTGTTTAGTTTAATTAATAAATTTCATTTAATTTACAAGCGGCTGTCAAAATGCATGACGCTTTGGCGTTCTTGAACCTGTTTTTCAATAGTTTTGTAACATATTTTTAAAATCAGAACTTGTAATGCAAGCGACACACTGACATATTTTAATGCATTTTTTTATTATTGTTTTAAGAAATTGTATTCCATAGGCAAATTTACATTAATTTTCTTTCCAATTGTTCTCCACATCGCTCTCCAATCATGTACGAAGTTATAGATGTTGGTTTATTAATAATTTTCAGTAGACGACTGTTTCAACTTTACGCACTATGCAAAAAAAAGTATACTAAATATTTTTCATCGCATGAAAAATCTTTAACTTGTATGAGCGTCCAAATTAGATACATTTAAAATGCTACTAAAACTTGCCTAATTTTGGGAGTTCTTATGTATATAATATACTGTAAAAATGCTGTTAATTTGACTGCTTAAACGCGTTTGCCTTGTAAATTCATGAAGCCTGTGAGTGTTGAGCCGTTTTTAAGACACGCCTTTTAACAACACCATCATTTACCCAGTCATGTTATAGATGATGGGTGTCATTGCCAAAACGTATTGCTAAAAGTCGTATGATTGCTCCCAAAGAATTTAGACAATATTCAAAGACGGATTTTTTTTTTTTGGAGCTTCGCACATTTCTGCAAAGACTAAATAACTTTTTTGCAAAAAGTATCGACGACTTGATTCAAGAAAACACTCGTTGAGTGAAAGCCTTATTCAACAGGTGCATTATTCTGTATATACGCATATTTGCAAGAAGCATGTGAGTCATGGTAAGACCCAGGCTATAGGGCGCGGCATGCATTGCGATACATCGATTGATCTACCACCTAAACCGATGGAAAAGGATCAAAATACCGGGTGTCCACAACGAACACCTAAATAATTAATTCTTCACCATAGCTTCAAATGGGAAAATATCGATAATCGATCATTCACGCCTCTCTACGGATAAGATTCACTATAACGATTAGCGATGCACGCATATATACCAAATTGTGAAATATTGTTGCTTAAATTCTAAGGCTAGAAAAGAAATTTTCTGGAAAGATAAATTTGAATTTTCTTATTTTAAGCTCAAGGGGGTTTTCCACAACACAATCTATGTGTAGTATGATTAAAATCGCGTTTGAACTCACTTGTGTGCTTTTGATTAACGTCAGGCGCGTATTTGGCGCTTCGGTCATCCTTGCCGAGTCCCAACTCATCATTGCGGATGACCTGATTGCCGAAAGGCGTCTCGCCGTAACCAAATATACACAAGAGAGTTAAACGCGATTTTAATTATGCTGAGTTCTCCTGCACGCCTTTCTCATTCATTGACCGATACTCCGTGATGCTGATAAAATTCGGATCGTAATATTTGAAATTTTAAAAAGTAAATTTGGCAGAACGCAATGTAACAACTGAGTGGAGGGACCCATGGTATAAACATACGACGTGGTTTTAATCAATTTATGGTTCATTTTCTATTCAGTATCTTAATCGACAAAGTTATTTTGGGGTATCATTATTGAGTCAACGAAAACAGACACCAATTTTAGATAAATGTGGTCTTATTAAAGCTTTGTATTTTCATAGTATGGCCAAACAGAGGCTCAGGAGCTCGGACGAGATTGGAGACCAATCTAGGGCCATATGACGTCTGTTGCAAATCGATCCGTCAAAAGGCCCAACGAAATGTTGCGGCAATCGTAATTTATTTATCCTATTAATCTTTCGTTAAAATAAACAGCGGCCACCCTCCTCCCCCCCCCCCGGCCCGTGTCCCGTGTTGTGGAAATATAGTTCGTTTTCCGCCTGAGCCCATGTGGCATGGGCAGGTTATTCGACGAATTGTGTCAGCCCTGAACAAAATTATGGCGCATGTTTGATTTAAGTCGACCACATACCTCATTTCAATTTGAAAATGACAACGATTTTAGAGAGCGAAGAATTGAGCTGCCGCAAAGGCCTTGACTTCAGAGACAGCTTATGGAAAATTTTCGTTATACCACCATTGTTAAAACTTTTCTCATGAATTCACCGTAAAAGTGTCCATGCGTTCTGCGTGAAATTGCAATGAGAAGATATGCCTTTTAGACGTTTAATGTTCGACCCTGTCTTGTGGACCATAATACACTGTTGATATCTATGAAGACTGAACACCCGTTGAACTGCTATAACTTATGAATATTCGTCTCATTTTACAGGGCGCAACGCGACTGACGAAAGAAGATATTGAACGAGTCTTCGCATTGTACGATAGGGTAAGTTCCCGAAAATTCTCATTAGCACAATCTGACCGTTCATCTTAATCATACCTACTAAGTAATGCATAATGAAGTGGTAAGAGGATTTTTGCAAGCTAGATAACATAATAAGAGATTAAGATTTTCATAAGAGGATTTGTGAGGAATAGAATGAAAACATTCCGCCTCGGTTCAAGCATCCCCCGCTGAGTCTTTTACATCCCTCGACAGTATTGCAAGAGGGGATTGGATATGAAAACTTTTGCCCCAACAAGCACGGAAGTCATTTAAAGTTGATAAGTTGAGTTAGATAAGCTTTAATTTTATCATTTCATCAAATTCCCACCAATTTCTGAGTGAAAACCGGAGACTCAACTTGTGCAACTAAAGCGTTCTTATATGTACCCCGCTGCATCCCAAAATTCTACGTAATTACCTTAAAATAAACCAAAATCCCAAGGCATTTTAAAAGTTCCGAAACTTTCAAACTTCGGCAAACGGTCACGAATCGAGTTTAAGTTCATCGCATAAAGATTTTTTTAGCATCCTGTTCGATGTAACTATTTTTCTCTTTCCTAAATCTAATTCCGAACATAAAAGCTCTTTGAATTTTCAGACACTTTAAAAATTTTCGGTATTTTGGTCGTTCACAAATGTTGAATTCCTATCAAAATCCCTCAAAACTTTGGGTAGAGGTCGAATAGTTTTTCTCAAAATTTCAAAATAATTCAGAAATTATCCCAGATTGTACGACCGCATTCGACTTTCTGCTAATAGAAGAAATTTAACCATTAAAGAACAATTGAAGTGAAGGGTACAGAGAGGGCATTTTTTGGTTGCAGTGACTCAGGATCTTCGTCAACGTTTCATCCACTATAATTACAGCAAATACGATGGAGTTCGTTACAAATTTTACTGAATTTTCTTCATAATTTTACAATGCTAAAAAGTAAAAAGTTCAGAGAATTCTTCCAATAGTTTCCTCTCTAAAATATAAATTAGCAGTGAAGATTCTGAAACACCGCAACCAAGAAATGACCTTTCTGCATCCAACGAACGCTCAATTTTGCAAACGACCCAAGGGACGCCTAGTTTGCGTACCTACTCTGTAGTGTATAAGTTCCACCAATTTTTTAAGTCTCTTTTCACACTTCAGTAAGTTCTACATCCTTAAGGATGTTCTGGCAAGTTTAGAATTTATCAAGACTTCATAGCGCGCGCTTAGTATATACTTTGAATTTCCACTTTTCAAATACTGATCAATCGTTTTGTGGTGGCATTCTTTCTATCCTAATGTGAAAAGTCTGATCGACTTTGCCACTTGAGACTTTGCTCTTTCATTGTCCGCGACCCAAGTTCCGAAACGTCACGGAAAAAAAGGTCCTCCCTCCATTCTCTCCGGCGACGCGACGCAACGGTGACAGAAGAGAAGCATTTCCAGGGACACAAAACAGACCCCGACCCCTGAGGAAAACCGCAAGTTCCTAAGAATTCCCATTCTCGGCGACTGAACAATGAACTTAAACTTTTCGCGCACTTATTCTATCCCATCTCATTTTAGCTTTTTCTAAGCAATCCCCAGGGAGCTGGCCTAGAGCTTAGTATCCCTGTCCTTTCCTTCCTTTGGGTCAAGCATCCCGACGCTGTGGTGTCGCGACGACCGACTTTGGACACATTCAAATCAAAATGAGCTACCTCCATTGTGACCTGAGCTCTGAGATCCATGAGGATACATGCATTACGAGACTCATGTTAAAATAGAGATAGTCCCTTTTGATTTAAGTACGCCCATATTTGTTAAGGAAATGTCAGTGGCGGGCTTTCAAGATCTTTTCCGCTCCTTCGGGTTATTACTTATTTACACAGGGCGCCTGCAATTTGGCAAGCTCATTGCTATGGCGGAGCGCCTATTGTGCTCGAATTGCGCTCAGCCAGGCTTCGAGCCTCAACCTTTAACGGAATTTCCCTGTTAACCTCTCCCAGAGTTCCTCAAAATATTTATTCTGCCGGATAAATAGCCCCCCTTCGCAATCGATTTCCGCGCGCGCTATGAAGGAGAACTATGCGCCGTTTTCGTGGACAAATCTATGAACCCGAATATATCTCCTCCAGCCGTCTCCCGCAGAAATGCGCACGGAAAAAAGGATGTATGGTTATTAAACCGTAAAAACATGTATTTTAGTCCGCGACCTCGTGAATTCCCTGTCATCTTTCATTTTTTTAATAACGCCTGATGATCGTTATCGCATGCTTTTCGCGAATGTTTTCGGCTTTTCAGAAAATATTCCGAGAAATTCTGACGCAGTTCCGTTAGATATTCTCGCGATAAATAAAATGTAAGCACAAGTACAGAGTTAACCAAAATAAATGCATAAATCGTTGGAGACAATTAATTTTGAATTGGAACGAATAAACGTCTTCTTTTGTACGGGAGGAGAACGCGAAGGGAGCATTTCAACTCCAGGGGGTATTTCTGGAGGGTGCCCAAAAACGACAAATAAGCAACAAGTTGCGCCAATCACTAAATCGTGCCCAGATGGTTCAAGCTAATGCATTAGTCAAACACAGTAAGATGAGTCCAGACGTCAAGTTTTCTCGTTTAACATTCAGAAATATAGCGCCTTTTGAGAAGAAATTACATGTAAAGAAACTCAATGTACCTAAACTTATTAATCGGTCAGTGTGTGAGTTAAATTATAATTCGTTTTAATCTTTTCCAGGATAATAACGGAACCATAGAAAATGAAGAACTGAGAGGATTTTTAAAAGACCTTCTGGAGCTAGTCAAAAAGGTAAGCCTCAACACCACTAATCTACAAAGTTTGAACAGGTTACTCTCGCTTTAATGCACAAATAGATGGGAGTATTTTCCTGCATTTGGTGTACAAGCGGGTTTATTTGTCGCTATAAAAAAAAGTTTCTCATGACCCGTCATACGATAAACTGCTCCCGTTGACCACATAAGATCAGTGGCGTGGCGTGAATTGCGATATATCGATTTTTATGTCATTTAAACCTACGGTAAAGAATCGATTATTAAGGTGTTCGCTGCGAACACCCTGTTAATCGATCCTTTTCCATGAGTTTAAATGACATAACAATCGATATATCGCAAAGCACGCCACGCCGCTCCATAAGGTGGTCCCAAGCAAGAACTCCTCGTAAAGAAAGCCTTTCTCCTCATTGATATCGCTCCTTCTCCGCTCACGTTATTTTAGCATATAGCCAATCGGAGAAATTGGCGAATGCCACCAGCCAATCAGCGGTTTCCTCTTCGTGGGCGGCCCTGGTAAAAATTGGCGATAGGAGCTGCGTTTCAAAATACCATGGGAGTTCTTATATCCGACTGAAGAAGGCGATAGGAAATCATATAGCTGGCTGTAGAAGTAAGTGGAAAAAATCATACGGCCGGGCTACACTAAGTGATAAAAAATTATACAGCCGGGCTGTAGTTTCTATTGCCGGGCATTACACTTTATCGCCTGGCTGTTGCTTTTTCGCCATCGGCTATAAAAGGCTATAAGAAATTGTGTAGAAATTCGTGTGCTTTGTAAATACCTAAGTTTGTACGGAATCACCTTAATATTTACAAAACGCACATTATACAGGGTGATCCAGACCACCCGTCCACTATCTTTTTCTCCAAAACGGCGGAGAATTGAGCTTCGGGACCAAAACTTTCGTGGGTAAATTGTCCCCAAAGAATCGAATGAAAATATTTTCAGCCCCCCAAAATGGGCCCTTGGGGGGTTTTGGGGGGGAGCCCCCCCGTTTCTCGCAATTTTCAAATGGGAAGGGTGTGTTTTGACTTTGGATTCGGAATCTACGGTACAAAATAACTACACTTTGTTCTTTGCTGTTTTTCCCTAAACCCCAATTTTTTGGAGTTATGGGGCATTTTTGGGACAATTTTCAATTCGACGCTGTAAGCGGCCAAATCATCCAAATTTCAAAATCTAAAAATCTCCTGAGAGGAGAGGTCAATACCTTTTTATTGATGTGGAACATGACCCCTGTTGCTCCAAAATTTTGGGGGCCACGACCCCCCAAAAATTTGGGGGCTTTGGAGGGCCATGAGTCGAAAATTTCGAAAGGCAAGGGTATGTTTTGACTTCAGATTTGGATTCTACGCGAAAAGTTACGTAGTATTGATATGGCGCATGGCCTGTTTGCTCCAAATTACTGAAGAACCCCATTTCCCCATAAGAAGCCGTGTATTTTTGGACAAAATAAGGGGTAAAAAAAAATTTGAGCGAACAGGCCATGCGCCATATCAATTCTACGTAACTTTTCGCGTAGAATTCAAATCTGAAGTCAAAACATACCCTTGCCTTTCGAAATTTTCGACTCATGGCCCTCCAAAGCCCCCAAATTTTTGGGGGGTCGTGGCCCCCAAAATTTTGGAGCAACAGGGGTCATGTTCCACATCAATAAAAAGGTATTGACCTCTCCTCTCAGGAGATTTTTAGATTTTGAAATTTGGATGATTTGGCCGCTTACAGCGTCGAATTGAAAATTGTCCCAAAAATGCCCCATAACTCCAAAAAATGGGGGTTTAGGGAAAAAGTGCAAAGAACAAAGTGTTCTTATTTTGTACCGTAGATTCCGAATCCAAAGTCAAAACATACCCTTCCCATTTGAAAATTGCGAGAAACGGGGGGCTTCCCCCCAAACCCCCCCCCCAAGGGGCCATTTTAGGGGGCTGAAAATATTTTCATTCGATTCTTTGGGGTCAATTTACCAATGAATGTTTTGGTCCCGAAGCTCAATTCTCCGCCGTTTTCGAGAAAAAGATAGTGGACGGGTGGTCTGGATCACCCTGTATTATCCTTTACTACACATTTTTTTTTCATCAATTAAAATGAGAATAATCCATACAGAGTGTGTAAACATTTCAAAGTCATGAGTTGAAAAACGCTGACTCCACAAGATTAAATATAAGAGCCGAACACAAAGCGGAGCGGCGGCGCACTGACGCCTACAAACCTAACAGGGATACTTCACACATTGCGCAATGCGTGAAGTATCCCTGTTAGGTTTGTAGGCGCCAATGCGCGTTCCGCGCTGGTTGTCCGCCCGCCGCAGCGTACCACGGCGCTTGAAGCAACTATTTCACACCAGAGGTATTGCACAGTATCATACGAAATTGAAGGCGCTCCAGCATATCAGGAATGGCAGGCATCCTGCAAAAGTACGGGGCTTTCCTCGCAAAATAAATCAAGATACTACGGCCCAAAAAGAGAGCGATAGTCCAAAAACTCACTAAGTCCTAGCATCCGTAATTAGTAACGTTAGCATACACTTTATCGTCAGGCTGTTGCCTAATCGCCATCGGCTATAAAAGGCTATAAGAAATTGCGTTGCCGGCTGTAGAAGCTATTGGAAATCTTACAGCCGGCTGTAAGTCTATGGTATTTTGGAACACGTATTCTACTGCCAGTTTTTATCAGGGGAAACTAGGAACTTTTTGTCGGGAAGAAGTGAAGAGTAATTCTGAGGGACTCCCCAGCTCCAGAGAGGGGTTTGCAGGACTTCTCCACCTCCAATGAGAGCCCCCCGGGGCCTTACCCGCGGAGAAAATTTTGAAAATTTGAATGGAGGCATTTTTCGGTAAAAGGGTGTGTGAGGCTTGCAATGCTACCAAGATTGTACAATGTTTCATTGCGTTTGCTGGAGATGAAATTCATTCTCATTTAACTCACTTCCTTACAGTAACGAGGAAACTTTTGTCCTGCCCATGGACCTTTCCTTACCTGCAATGCTCAAAGTTAAGCTTGCCATATGGCCCGTCGCACAGTGGATCGAATCAATCAGAGGTCGGACATGAAATTTTTGACTAAAACTGCAAATATTGATGTTTATTTCGTCACATTTTGAAGGAGTGCTTTTGGAAGAAAACTTCACGAAAAAAACCCATGAAACCACTTTTAGAACCTCAAAGTTTTGTATAAACGGAGTTATAAGCTTTTGAAGTTTCCAAATTTCGTCCGACCTCTCCTATTGACTTAGTCGACTGAGCGTCGCTGGGGCTGAAGAGTTGCAGCTCTTGTTTACCTTTTTGCGAATGAATCGATAATCAATGATAAATTATTCGGACAGGACTACGACGCTCAAGACTTGCACGATTTCGAGGAGACGATCATGCGCGGGGTGGACTACAACGAAGACGGGAAGATCAACAAAAAAGAGTTGACGATGATCCTCCTGGCGTTGGCCAAACACAACACTGACGAGGCATAGACAGCACCGCGCTTCAACAAACCAACTTCCATTTTTAATAGGTTAAGTTTAATGAGTTACTCGTTGCCAACGCAGCGGATTGCATCCATTTTCAACGTCCAATTCACCGCCGTCCCTCAGTACTTATTTCAAAGGCTTATTTTTCTATCGTGAGGCCCGAATTTAGCTTTGATGTTCAATTCAAACTACTTTCAAGGATTCTAGCCAAAATAGACAGATAACTCCCAGAGTCCTCTTCGATGAACAAATAATTTCAAATTTTTAACTCAGGGTACTTTTCTCTCCGAGGCCGCACCACAGTACCGACCATGGTAAGTTGGCAACAGCGCTTTCTCGTCTTTTAATTCCATTTAAAATATCGATTTTAGGTGAGTCACGATTGTTTTAAATACGAATAAGTAGAGAAAAATTAATGTTGCCAACATGCGAGAATCGCCATTAGGCCGGCTTCCTAATGGCTTTCTCGTGATGTAAAGAAAAATATTCAATGTTTTCGGTGGCTCAAAAGCAATGACAATTGGACGGAGTTAAACAGAAAGGAACCAAGCCACATCGGGATCGAACCGAGAAAAAGAGGCTTAAAGTTTAGCTCCTGCATAAGACTCAATGTAAAAGATAAACTTCAAGTTCAATTTCTGCAAAATTTGCTCCAACAAAAACTTTGATTTTTTGGCGATAGATAGTAGAGCACTGGTTGAGTTCAAAACCACTCATAACTCAATTTTTTCCAAAATGTGGGTTGGTTCCTTTCTGCTTAACTCAGTCCAATTGTAAGATCCTTGACAGATATGTGCAGGGCACTGATTTCAAATTCTAATCCCAAAACACTCTACTTAAACATGAATAAATAGGTGAAAAATAAATAGAGCTCATTCGTTTCACGAATTTATAACGAATGTAATGAATTCGTTTAACGACCTGTAGGTATTCTGATTAAAAATGGGATTCTCCAATCCGGAAGTAGGTCTTGTATTAATTTTGAGCGGAGCAAATCACAGGAGCTGTCGGAATCTCGGAATAATCGAATTTTAGGTGCGGATTGAGCGGTTGCTTGATTATTGCCAGATGTGGATCCAGCAATTTGGCAACACCAAATTTCCCCCATTTAAACCTATGCTAAATAATCGATTCCTCCTTAATTTTTTTCCACCAACGTCAATCTTCGTATAACCTAACGTCAGTTCCACAAGAATTCAAAGCCCGATACTTACTTTACCCATCGTCGTCAAAGTGCATCTTTCTAATGATAAGGGATAAATGGACTGCATTTTGCAATTCGGAACCATAAATTCTGGCTCTTCTGGAAAAACACTTATGTGCATAGGGAAACCAATGGCACATACGCTGTTTTTAAACCTGGTTAGTATCTATAGGTCCAAATTGCAAAATGTTTAGTCCAAATTGATAAAAGAATATAATGTCTTCATTGCTGGACTTGCGTCTCAGAAAAAACGAGCCCCATTCGTTGAGAAAGCAACATCAAGGGTAATATTTTTTTCACAAAAAAAAAAATAAATAAAATAAAATGAAAATGAAAGGAAATTGACATGAAATTCAATATATCTGACGTTGTTACAAGTATATTTCTCGTGAATCTATAGTTTTTGTCACGACAGAAAGCTTATAAAAATATATTCCAACAACGTTTGAATAACAATGGGGGGGGGGGGGACACAACCCCTGCTTTTACCGGTGCCTCCTAATAAATGCGCACCTCGAATTGAAGATGACAAAATACAAAGGTGGATTATGCTCCAGCCGTGCATTAAACAGAGCTTGGATTTTGAACGTTATCTGATAATTTTTTCAAGCGGACTCAGACACGATCAACTGGATTAATGCGGCTGCCGCGAGTTTGCACAAAGTCGCAAACGCCGTGAAAAGCGACGCTCATTGTGAATGCTCCATTTTAAATGGTTGAACTTCAAAGCATCGGGGACCTCTCATCAGATAAATTATGGATGCAATTTCCTCATTCTAGTTTTAAGGCATAAGTTGAATTATGTTTCCCGAGTTCAAATACATCACGAGCTGGAAGTTTGCCAAGAGTGTACATTAAAGTAATACGTGTATTTGTAAATACATATATAATTTATACTATTACTTTTGCAAATACTTATAAATCTGTTATTTCATTATGCAAATTTTTAAGCAATGTTAAAATATTCATTTGTTGATTTTACTGAATCACATCAATTTTGTGCAGAACATAGGAAACCAGGCCCATCGTAATTTCTATCGTTTTACTTCCGATGCGATGATATGCATTGGCTGCTCCCATGGCCAATCGCCGAGTAATAATATGCCTGGATGGTTAAAATATCAAGAAATTTTCCATTTTGTAACGCAAAATCGCTCTTCTCTCATGTCAGTCGGTGGCAACTAAACAAGTCCTTTCAAGCTAAAATAAACGAGGCGTTAAAGCCAAAACTCGTATCAGCATTTGCAATATTCCAAATTGTCTCTCTTTCCGTGTTATTGTGGGCCGTCAGTAAATGTGTACATGTCAATAATGCTCAATTCCTTCCCGATGTTTGAACTACACGCCATTTTCGAATTAAAAATGTGGGCTTGGCTGACATTTTAATACAATCAATTCAACGGCTGATGCGTTAATAATAAAAAACAGCGCTCACAGTCATTTGTCTTGGAAGAAGTTTTTTAATTGCCATATAAATATTATACACATGTTACCGTCAATGTAAACATGGGAGGGGGATATTTAAAGAAAATTATTTTTCGTGATTCGTAAGATTCGTGATAAAAAATACGGGCCAATTTGAAGAGTCACGTATTTTCCCTACCCATGTAATAGCTAATAAAAATTAATGCCGGGGTATTTTGATGTGAGGAATAACCCAAATGCAATGCTATTCGAATAATGTCTCAAGAGCAGCAGTAACCTGTTGTTGTTCGACAAAATCAAATTTATCTCAGTACATTTTTTGAATCTCAGTGCCAAAACAATCAAACTGTATCATCATCATTATCATTTATTCATTTCTTGATTCGATTTAACACTTGACTATTTCCAATGTCCTCGATAGACGCAACACTTTGTTCTGCTAGTTTAATTTGAATCTGTACCTACCGTTGTGAACATTAAATCTTAGTTCCTTGTTTACAAACATGAGAAGATACATGATTTACATATTTCAGTCTCTTAGTTAGTGAGATCGTCTGAGAGAAAATGTAGCCATCCGCAACCACGCCTGAAGTGCTATCATTAACTTAAATCACTACCTATCATTAACTGTCGGTGAAAGAGAAAAATTATTTACATAAAATAAAACCACCGAGCCTTAAAATTCATAATTCAAAATAATTGACTATAGTTGGCACATTTTTCATGAACGTATTGATCCGGTACCTATAGTAATGTTCGCTTTAAACCTGACACCAGCTTCTACTTAGGATACATCTTCTAATACCTACTCGCTTCTCTTCTTAATCACAATTATATCTCATACTGTTGATATTTTTTTTATCATTGTTAATGAGAACATATCTTGTACTTTACCTTTTTACTGTTTCTTATAATTTCGCTTCATTTTGAAAATATAAAGTTATCGGTAATTGTGGTTTTAGGTCTTCGATCGATTGTGGTTAGTTAAAAGACCGCAGGATAATCTACACTTGTTTTCAACTTAAGATAAGAAAATTGAAGCTCCTCGTTATGCAAGGAAGCGTGCAAATAATTTAAATGTTTGGTTTAAGTTAAAATCATGTACAAAAGAAAAATCGTTTTAAAACAACTTCTTCAAAGGGTGTGGTTCAATAAAAATACAAGATTAGATAAGCAACATGCAGTTTAGACGAGAAAAAATTGAGAAAATTCATATTGAAACTTTGAAATTTTCCCTTGAATTTTGGAGGTATAATCTTATCCGGAGACGATGCACCTTAAATTTTCCATAGGAAGGAGTGGTTGTACCAGCTAGAGATATGGATTATTCAACTATATTTTTGGCTAACTCAGCGATACACTGGCTGGTGCAACAGGACCTTCGGGTTCGCGTAAACATCAGGAGAGATTCAGAAAGGATTCATACTTACTTCTGTGAGATGGTGGAAATTCAGCTCCTTGGTGCCTTCAGAGTTCTTCAAAATGAGCCTTTAAAGTTACTACAGTCTTCGGGATTCTGAACAAGGTGTATCGTTTGCTGGATCTTAAAAAAATGCATTTTTCGTGAATGCTAGAACAACTAGAACGTGCTAATTTTTCCAAAAAAGGGTGAATTTTTCTTTTTAAGGAATAACCTTCTCGTCATCCTAACTGTTCAATAACCTTCAGGTAATTGTAAATTTCTGTTTCGGAATTGATGAAAATATATGTATTAATGTTATTTCCGTGCCTTATTTCCATATTTCCTAAATTTTGACCCAAAATATTCATTCATCATCATGCTAAGTTAACAATTTAATTTCAGAGTAACTATTCAACATATAGGTGGATGCAGGAAGGGATGCCGCCTCGGCCCAAAATAAAAGCAGGGGAAAAAAGAGATGAGACTCCAACAAGAAAAAAGCAAATAAACACAATATATCATAAACAGTGGCGGTAGGTATAAAAATAGAATTATTTCGTTTGTTGCTTTTGATTCTTGCCGCTATTTATATCCTCCGAAACGGAAAATCTTGGAATGAAGGAGTCAGTAAATGAGGTATAAAATCTATCAATTTTTCATACTCGAATGGGTCTCAAATAAACCAATGAAGCGAAGCTGTGCAGGTTCTTTTAAGGCGAAGGACAAGATGCGCTTAATAGCTTAAATTTATAAAGCGTGATACTGAAGCTATTAAGATAATTAAAAATTTTAAAACAATAGTTAATTGAATTAACAGTGGCGTGGCGTGAATTGCGATTTATCGATTGTTATGCCATTTAAACCTATGGTAAAGAATCGATTCTTAAGGTGTTCGCTGCGAACACCCTGTTTATCGATCCTTTTCCATAGGTTTAAATGGCATAAAAATCGATATATCGCAATTCACGCCACGCCACTGGATGCGCAATCGTTATTCCAACACCTGGCAGCGTGTAAGATGTTATGATCTCCACCCTTCATGCATCCACCGTGGGAAAATACCCGTGGAAACGCCGAACTCAAGAATTTTAAGCTGAGAACGTCTAAATTAAATATGAGCTTTGAAAGTTTAAAAGTACTGCTGGGAATTGTAACCGAGGACAGTGCTGACTGCCTTGGGGTTTCCTCCCCTGAATGCGAGAGAGCAGTAGCTGTTTCCGTTTTCCGTGGGGCAGAAAAGAGAGCCCTTTCATTGGCCGTTAGAAGGTCAACCCTCGCCTCCCCCGCGTCAATATCCTTTCCCGGTTAGCTCTACTTTTCTTCATTCTCATTCACAGGGCTCGGGAAATCGTGCTTAAATCCACGAACGGAGCTCTCGCCACAGTCAGCGAATTGCAATTTAATCATCAACCTCTTGGTTAAATTTCGCGGGAAACACAATGTTGCCGCAGGTTTAATCGAAAATTTCCTCTCGAGTTCATGGAGAGCTCTCCAAGTCGGGGACGATTCTTGAAAGTTGGCAACCCCGTTGTTCCTCCATTTAAATTCATTTAAAATATCGATTCTAAGCGAGGCAAGCTGCCTCACGATGAATCGATTGTTTTACATACATTTTAATGAAGGAAAAACAGGGTTACCAATCATCAAGAGTCGCTACCGCTCTAAGCAGAGACCGTAATACTGTCACGCTACACGCAGAACAATTTTCCGCGGATATCCGTACCCCAAAAAGCTTGGTCACTGCTGCTGGAAAGTTGGTATGCCGTGCTAAGCTCGCGACATATCTGCCGAATTTCGGTGGGCGGAACCGAGAGTCTCAGTTTCAACTACTGAGTTTTTCGGGGTGCAAATGGTACTGAACAATTTTTTATTGTGAAGAGAAGAACTTCGGATGAGCATTCAGACGTTGCTAAATGTCCTTATTAATCAAATACAATTGTTTTGGGTAGGGCCGGATTTAGGGGGTGGCCACATGGGCCGCAGCCCATGGCGGCAAATTTAGGGGGCGGCAAATTTTGCAATTTTTTCAAATGTAGTTTTAAAGAAAAATCGGATTCAGAAAAAAAATATACACACGAGAAAAGGTGACAAAATCTCTCATTTCCTGAAAGTTTATCTCTAGTTTTGAGGTCTTTCTGTGATACAATAGACAGCACCTCTAATATGTTGAGTTAAGACTAAGAGAGAAACCGAACACGGAATTTGGCCTAGAACAGCGCGGCGCAGAGAGCAGTGATGACGAGAACTTGAGATGAAAAGGAGCGGCGCGGCGGTCGGCATGTAACACTTATTAGCGCCTACAAGACTGCACGGATACTTCACGCATTGCGTCAAATACAGTGCGGTCGCTGCGGCCAGCAGCTGGCGGCGTGGAACGCATAGCGCCTACGAGACTGCATGAATACTTCACGCATTGCGTCAAACACAGTGCGTGCGGCAGCGGTATAACACATACAAGACTGCATGAATACTTCACGCATTGCGCCAAACACAGTGCGGTCAACGCGGCGCAGTGGCGGAAGTTAAAATTATTAAACCACATTTATGTTTGTTCTTTCATAATTTTTTCGTTCATTTCATATAAATGGATGGCCTTGTCCACACAGAGATAGATTTACGGAACTTAATTTACGCGCCAAGTTCCGTGAACTTTTGCTAGTAGTGTTGACAGGGCTTTCGCAAAAATTATGTCCAACACGAGTAAACGCGTCTTATGCACCCCTCCCCCTCCGGCACGTTCACTTGATGGTTTTTATTGATGTTTCAAAACGAATGAGAAGAGGGCGGCAAAATACAGGCGGCCCATGGGCGGCAATTAAGTAAATTCGGCCCTAGTTTTGGGTAAATTATGAATGTTTTACAAGTAAATTTGTATGAAATTCATTTAGCAATTTCATCTAAAGTATCTGAAAATATCAATGAGAATATTCACAATTTTCCTCGGAAATAAATATGTTATCGAGGAAAACTTGGCAACGACCGAATGTTCATGCGGCTTTCTTCCTTAATATGGAAAGGTGGTGGATTGTTATATCAAATTAGAAGAGTCCATCTTCGTAAGCAGCCAAATTTTCTAAGATAAATAAGGCTGAATACATTGCCTAAGAGGGTTGCATAACTGCGGCTGAAGAAACATACCGACGGTGAAAGTCGGCAATCACATAACTCGTTTGCGGTGTCTGAAAATCTCCGCCTCTACGTCATTTTCTTAAAGGAGAACAAATTGACATTATTTCTTGAAGTTTTTGCAGAATTTTCTTCGCATTGAGAAGAAAAATCATGACAGTTTTAAAGAATTGCCATTGAGTAGTTTTCCGTTTAGAAAATAACGTATGACAGGAAGTCTTCAACGTCGCAAACCGAGTTATGTGATTGCCGACTTACACCGTCGATACCCTCCTGATAAATTGAGTCTTTAATCTTTACATGTGAGCTATATAGGGTTCTTAAATAATGAAGAAGTAAAAATTCTCTATAAATAGAGTTTATTTTTCATAGGTGTCATTGCTTACGCAAAAAAACATATTTACAAATTTGCATACATGCTGAGACACCTATTAAACTTAAAACTATTTTGGCAGTAATAATTATTACAGTTCGATGAGAATATGTACACATTCTTTTCATATTTCAATAATAATAGACAACAAGATAAATTTAGTATTTCTATAATTATGACTAACAAATTATTCCTATATTGTCTAAGGAAACTGTAAGCCATTTATTTGGATACTTCTGTCAAACAATTTATTTTAACGGTCATACGAGATGGCTATGGCAGTATTTTTCGTTTCTGATTTCTCAAAACTTGTGGGTTGAGATCGCCTTCATACCTATATACCTTGCAGTCAATTTTTTTACTACAATCGCTTTTGGCCGCGCAAGAGGAAACTTTAAGCTCAAAACTGATAACCTCAATATTTATCGAGAGCAACTAAATACCTGCAACTCTGAATGGAATGTAGGAGGCAAAATAACGATTTACTCACCCCCTCCAGCGAGAGATCAATTCATTTAATATTCGACGCCTTCTTTACTTTTCGAGACAAATAAGAATAAATTTATTAGCGATATAAAAAGAGATATAGACGGTTTAGTTCATCATGAATGAATAGTAAGCACACGAGTGCTCAGTAAATCCAAAAATATCCTGGAACAATTTCTTTCAAATTTTGCGCCAAGATCTTGAGGTGTGTGAAATACTTAAGCATCAAAAATAATGTATTTACGGAAACTTCAATAGTGCTTCGGCGAATTTTTCAAGCATTCTTCAAAAGTTACTGCACCACCAGATGTCTCTCTAATAATATTTTCGAGAATTTTCAATAGGACACTCGAATCTCTCCCCCCCCCCCCCTTTCATATTTCAATATACATTAATGAATGAATATCAGTACACGGGAAAGTGAATTTTTGTCACTTACTGTTTTATCGAAATCAACAACCACGGACTGTTGTCTCTCAATTAACGATGCAAAAACACACTTAATCTAGTTAACTTAATTTGGTGGAATAGCGTTTAATTTGGTTTCTGGAGAGGTTGAACCCCTCATTAATTCCATTCGCTGCCACATTAATATATCAGCAGCTTACAGACTTCGAGGGGAAACATCGTTTCAATCCCTTACTGTTACGAGGGCATCAAATTCTCCGGGTGAGGGAGTCACTCCATCGACTCCCAATTTACTCGGCAAATCTTGGCCTGGGACACAACTGAAGGTGAAATTCTGAAGCAGAGTCGCCGTGAAGAGGAAAATGTTGGATCGGGCCAGCGCTTGTCCCATACACCTGTGTTTACCTGCAACAACAAGTCAGCTCTTAAAAGATTTGCAAACCATTTTTCCCTAAAAAAATACCACTCATTTTATTGTGGAAAACTATCTTGAAATGTTTATAAATTATTACCAAACAAGTTTTGGTGCTGCATTTGAAAAAATATTTAAAAAAAGTCCTATCACGTCAGACTTTATGGGAAACTCAACATTTTCCGCCAAAAATGGGGTTTACAAGGCACTTTCGGATTTCCCAGCAAATTGAAGCATTGTGGGCAAAAACAAAGTTGATTTTTGGATTCAAAAGCAAATCGTTTAATTGAATCCTGTTGCATTTATTCTTTTTTGAGACTGCGGTAGTTTCAAAATAATTTGAGATCAAAATTAATGTACATTTTCAAGCTCCACTAACGCTCCAGCCATTTGCATCTAATTGTTTATTTGCTTATTAAAGCAGAATATTCCAAAAAGCATGAACGTAAGGAATCAATGAACAGGAATATGATAAAACGGACAAAAGTAATCACAGTATTTTACTAACCGAATCCAAAAGGTAAGTAGTTGTCCGGTATGACCACTTTATTTTCTGCATTTATGAATCGCTCTGGCTTGAAAAGCTCCGGTTCATCCCAAAACTCAGGACTCATCAGCACGTGATGGAAATTCGCGATTAACATTGTACCCTGAAAATGAACAACACAACGTATGGATCACACTCGAACGTGAACAGATAATTGAACCGCGTTAAGCAGAAATGAACCAAGCCAAATCAGGTATTGCCAAATTTAATCGGATAATTTAATTTTTTACATGAAAACCATTGTGCGGATTTTTATAAAAATTCTAGTGAATTCGTAGCGAAGCCAATTCCTTTAAAATTTTTGAAGAAATCCGCACAAACATTCTCTCGTAAAAAATTGAATTGCCCAATTGAATTTGGCAACAGCTGATGTGGCTTGGTTCCTTTCTGCTAAACGCGGTCCAATAATGCGCTGAACGAAATAGAAAAGAGTATAGAGGGAATATGTTCTGGACTTGAAAATTTCCTTCATGAAGTTAACTTTCTCTTTATGTTTCTCACTTCACCAGTTTTCAGACCATTGAGCCCTAATATCCGAAGACTTTTTCATCCAGAATCCTGGTCCTAAAGTCGTTCCTCGTTCGTTACTAATTTCTAGTATTCAAATTAAAAACACAATTCTAAGACATTAATTGCGACCGCACATTTTATACGGAAATAATCGATAAAAAGAAATCATAAACTATGCACCCCATCTCAAATTTTCTTCCCAACAGACCTCCTCCGCATTTTGTCGTCTAATTGAAAGGACCATTTTGAAAACTTGCGTATTTATTAAACGCATGTTATGAATTATGATTGTTTTCTCCAAACTTTCTTAAATACTTCTTCTCTAAATTAATACGTTATATTAAGCTGACCCAATGACACCAAATTCACTATTTTTGTTCTCAAATACACCAAATTTTGAGACATACTTTGTCTGAAATGCCACGGATATTTTAAAATGTGCTTACCTTAGGAACATTGTATCCCTGAATGGTGGCATCTCTGAGAGCCCTGTGGGGAATACTGAAAGTGCGACCCATGAACATACGTACGGATTCTAAAACGATAGATTCCATGTATGGCATCCTGAAAACAGTCATAAACTCAATTTAGAAATCTTGGATGTGTAAATCCGTCGAATTTTAGTGAAATGGAGGTTATTTTGTTTTTCAAAACTTATAAAATAGTCAACATTTCGACAGTTTTAATTCCACACACGAATAAATGTACTTTTTTAGGTGATGTCAAATTTGAGTTTCCGGTCCAAAAACGTTGGAAATCTATATCTCAAAAACAGCTTTTGGTATGAAACACTTTACAAACGCCTCGTCTCACTAATTATTTTCGGATTATCATCTCTACACAGCGGCCTCTTACTCGGTCTCCCTGTGCTTTGCCTCTCGACATTTCAGTTTTGAAGCGCCTTCATTCTCATCTGATACGATATAACCTACTCCCAGGCTACATGTGGATTCCATCCCTGCATCAAATAATGACGGAACACTAATTTTCATATTGGAGATCACGAACGCTTCAAGTTACCTTCATCCAAATTTTTCCTGTTTTCTAATGACGTATTTTCCTGAATTTCTCCTTATTCTAATCAGACGTGAGGTAAAACACGTGTCTGGCTTGAGAAATTTTTATTTTGATACTTCCAACCCGAATTTCTTTCAGGCCCCAAGATTATAGCTCACTAGCATTATTACTAAATATCGCAGCACTCTTCAATTACACCTTATCTCAAACCCCTATTCACGACCGAGAGTACATTACGCTATCAAAGGCGGATCCAGCAATTTGGCAACACCTAATTTCCTCCATTTAAACCGATGCTAAATAATCGATTCTTGTCGGAGCACCTGGCCCCTCCAAGAATCGATAGATTTCCATAGGTTTAAATGGAGAAAAGACAATTTTGCCAATTTGCTGGATCCCCCAATGCGCTATTCCAACGTATGCAACATTTTAAAGGGTCTCAACTTATTTCTTTATTAATTAAGAGATGAATGTTTTGGATTAAAGAAAAATAAATTTAAACAGGTACAATAATGTGAATCGAAAGATATTATTCTTACTCAGGTCTGTCATTTAAAGTGGGTAATCGATTTCTGCCAACGACACGATCAAGTTCCTCCTGAGCTCTGACTTGTACTTCCGGATGATATAACAAATACAGGAAACCAAAACCCATTGATTTACTTGTCGTTTCCGATCCGGCCATGAACATGTCCATGCAGATCGCCAAAAGCTGGGATTCTATCGAGATAAAACAAGAAAAAATTAATTGATTCCATCTACCAGGGGACAAAAATGAAACAAGATAAACTGAATTGAAATAACAGTAAAGGGAGTAAAATAAAATGATGGGAAATGAAATTCAATAAAATATAAGGAGATAAGATAGAACAAAAACTAGTAACAGCGCCCCAGAGAAAGTTTAAAGCTTATGAAGTAATTCTTGTCAAAAATAATTCGTTATATTCTGAGAAGGAAACTCAAGCAAAAAGTAACAAATTACAAGAGGAGGAGGAAACCACTTTAGTTGATACAGTAGTACAGGGTGTCTCGAAAGGACGAGGACAACTACTCATCGAGCGTTTTAAACCGATTATTATACTTTCAAACTGTTGAGGTGTACCTATTTTTTTAATTCAAATCGAACTTTTGACTTGCGTCATTCAGTCTCATCGCGAGCTTCAACTCCACAGCTTCATCGGGCAAAATAAATGAAGAAAAAAATCAAAATGTTAGTTTCATAAGGGTGGTTATAAAGGCTCCATATTGAAGTAGTTTTTGAGTTACCGTAAGTCTTGAAATTCCATCAAGTGAATTGTGGACCTCCTTTGTGATTCATTTCTACTTACTAATTTCAATTCCAAAAATATGAAAATCATACATAAAAATCCGCATGGCCAGGGATCAGTGAAATAAGTAACTGATATACTAATTATTTTTTGAAACGAATTTTCGATCAGACATTTCTTTCGCTGATTCCTGCGAGTTTCAATCAAGTTTTCATCAATGTTTATATTTGTACATATACATTTGTTTGTGCTCGTCTGATCAAGAATGTCGGAGTGGTCGGCCTACCCACTCGGATACAATAATTTAATCTGTAGTATTTTTTCCTGCGTTTATCCTATACTTATACTTTCTCCAGATTATAAAATGTTCCTATTCTATTCTTATTACAACGCTTTCATTCTTTTCTCTCAAGTGGAAGATATGGGGATATTCAAGTATAACGGAGGGGATTTTGGCGGACTTGACCCCCTTCTCCCCCTTGTATAAGGCACTTATGAGATAATGTTTCACCTGACCTCATCTGAACTACGAAAGAGTGACTCCTTCCTTCCTATTTTTCAGAAAACAACGGAGAAAGCCTCGAGATTAACTGGAAACATTCTGATCGTTAAATGGACTGCATTTTGCAATTTGGAACTATAAATTCTGGCTCTTCTGAAAAAACACTTTTGTGCATAGGGAAACTGATGGCACATACGTTGCTTTTAAACCGGGCTAGAATTTATAGTTCCAAATTGCAAAATGTAGTCCAAATGTAGTTTATTTAAAGCGGGAGGCTTTCGTAAGACTAGGTCGAACCCCTCCTCCTCCTGCGTAAGACACCGGAAGAAAATTTTAGACCCCCTATCGCCTACCCCCCTCAAATACACCGAAAAAAACTCCGGCCGTGGAGGCAGTACTAATGGCTACATAGACATACCGCAGTGGCGTGGCGTGAATTGCGATAGATCGATTGTCATGCCATTTAAACCTATGGAAAAGTATCGATAAACAGGTTGCTCGCAGCGAACACCTTAATAATCGATTCTTTACCATAGGTTTAAATGGCATGACAATCGATCTATCGCAATTCACGCCACGCCACTGACAAACCGTCCGCGTTCCGGGAGCAGCACCCGGAGCAATCGAAGCTATGCCTCCAGCACCCGTAACTCTCGGCCTCTGAGCCCGAAACGGACGGTACGTCTACATAGATCGGAATTTTTTTTCCCAATGTAGCTTCCTTGAATGGTTCCTTTCAAGAGTTTTTCCTTACAAGACGAAGGGGTGGAAGTGTTTGGCAAACACCCTGTGCGAGTTGGCGGTTCTGCCCGCGTGGTTTCCGGCCAATCATTCCATTAAAAAGTTGCCAACTTTGCTCACGAGAAACGCCGTCGGGAAAAGTTCGGAATCGGGAGGAGAAACCGGGCGCCGGGGCTGCCAACAGCATCGGCCACCGCAATGCCTCTCTAATGAGAGTTCATGAGCCAGACAGCTTGAGCCAAGCAGCAGCAGCTCCAAGTATCAAGCCTGAATACTCCTCCGACGCTCCCGTTCTTAGCAACAACGCCGCATGCAAATTCCATCTTCGCCAAATTCACCCCGATAAAACATTATTTTAAACTGCACTGAAAAAAACTCCGGTCATAGAAGCCGTGCTTACGGGCTACATAGATGTACCGTCCGCGCTCCGGGCTCAGAGGCCGAGAGTTCCGGGCGTACACGGAAAAAAAATATTGCTGACTCAACAATTCAATTGCTAAAAACAGTGAGTGCAATGTTTCAACGCAGATTTTACAACAAAAAAATGCTACTTTAACCACATTGTAAACTAATTTAACCACGGGGGTGGTTAAAGTAGCATTTTTTTGTTGTAAAATCTGCGTTGAAACATTGCACTCACTGTTTTTAGCAATTGAATTGTTGAATCAGTAATTTTTTTTCCGTGTAGTACCCGAAGCAGTTGAAGCTACGGCTCCAGCACCCGGAACGGGCGGTATGTCTAGATAGCCCGCAACTTTTTTTTCCAGTATGAGAGGACGATCGGGTAAAATAACCGAAAATTACTGATCAGAGGCGCAATATTTTTTGGAGACCCCGAACTTTCAATTTAAGTAATACGATCGGTGAAACAGAGGTTAAGCTCATGGTCAACGCAGCTATTCTGCTTTGCTGAGGAAAAATTCTGTTCGAACCTTCAGGCGTTTCTAGAATTCCTTCCATAAAACATGGATTTTCTGGTTTATTTTTGAATATTTTTCTTCCAATTTTTCAGATTAGACGTAATTAGACGAAAAGAATTCTCAAGATCTCGAGGGAATTTGTTCTTCATTAAAAGAAATGTGGGAAAGTCCGAATGTGCATCACTCTTATCTCCTCCTTAGCACAGCAGGGCGCATCTCAGTCAAAGTGCATAATTCATGAGACGGGGCGCTGTGCAGTAAAAGCGCTGAACTTTATAAAATGAATTGACGTGAAAATTTATCACGATTCCTGACAGTGAAATTATACACGCCTTCCGACGACAATTACTGCGTAATGCGACGATGGGGCTAACGCGCGGGATGTTTCATGTCTGCCCTGTAGGGTGTCTGTTTTTTACCGTTTTAAATAATCCATTCTCAGTATAACGACCTGTTCCTACAAATGCCGATTGTTTTACGTGCGTTTGAATGGACAAAACCTACTCTGCCGTGCTAAGGAAGAAAGCCGTATGGGTATTCGAGAGTTGCCAAATTTTCCCCAATAAAATATGTCTTTTTTAAGAGAGTTATGCATAGTTTTCCTTGAAATTTTCAGATACTTTAGATTAGATTACGAACAAAATTCTCTGAAAAATTGGAGGAAAAATATCCAGAATTTTCACGGTAAATTCGGTCGTTATCGAAGGAAATCTGGCAACGCCTGATGGCTTATATGATGTTTTTCCTTAGCAGGGCAGTTGCCAGCTGGCGAGAATGACTGTATACCGCAACTTATACTACGTGACTTGGCCGACTTCTGACAGGTCGAGCTCGAGAAACGATTAATTTTTCTACCAAGCAACAGCTGGGATGTTATGATACATATAGGCTTTTCACAATTTCGCAGTAACAATTCTCCGAATGAAGTAACAAGCCCTCACTCCGAGACCGAGTGGATCCCTTTCTGATCCCACCTTATAACTCTATTGCAGTTTATGCATATGATGCATGCATCTCATGCAATTTACAGACGTTATTGGCGATGTCCATCAATGGCGGTGTAAATTATCGATGAGCTCATTGAGAATTTTTTTTGGATGGAGGGAGGGGAGGCGATCATCAACTTAATTTTAATTACGTTGAAATCATCTGTTTATAACGCATGTGTTGTTTAGTGTGCATAACCAAAAGATAAAGTAAAAATATCGTTTTTTTTTTGTTTCTGACTCAAATCATTCCTTAACGCTTCTTAACTTCATTCTAATTCGAAGCTCAAGAATGAGTCTCGCGGACCCAAGCTATGTTGCGGATCAATGATTCATGAGCTACTGTCCCCCTGTCCCTCTTTTTTCATCAATTTGTAAATTAATTTTTTCGCAGATCACAAAAAAAAATTGGAACTCGAAAAACTCGAATATGGGAATTCATGCATGCTCGTGACAAGTGTAATATTAAAATACCTGATCAAATCTATAAAAATAAGTATTTCTGAACCGAAGAAATTTTGAAATCCACGATAAAAATTTTAAAAAAACGCAATTTTTCGCACTCTAGAGACATATCTTATTTTGAGATAATGCATGGTTGAAAATTAAGTTAAGTTAATGGTGTTAAGTTTTTTTTTCTTTTTTTTCTTTTTTTTCATTTCCTTATTTAACCTTTATATTGTCTGATTTGTAAGCCAATATGGCATTTGTAATTAATCTGTTGCTGAATAAATAATAAAAACAAATGGTTGAAAGTGTTTTACCTGAGAAGCTGGATGATCGGTCTTTTGAGCGGAGCATCTCGAGGTAAACGTCCATCAAATCTCTTGGGTCGTCAGCTTTGAAAGTGGCCTTATGGTTGTCCAATTCAGTCTGAAATTTAGACACCGAATAATCTGTTAAAATTCTTCAAGAACTCCGAAAAAGTGAATACAAATGTACCATTTCTCAGCGGCCTCTGGAGTGTGTAAAACAGGGGGAGCACATGGATGGAGCGGACGCTATGCAAGGGATTCAAAACGCCTTCAATTTTTCGAGTATGCAACACAAACAGTTGTGAGGAATTTTGGCATCCAATTCTACATAATAATATCGGGTTTGAACACACTCCAGTTAAATAGCCATTGCCGCTTAAATTTTGAAGCTTTGTAGCTAGAGCAAAACATTCTTCCTCCCCCAGGGGATGAAATATTTACGTTCGAAAAATCACAAAGTCGGGAGCACTTGTCAAAAATATGCAAACTTTGATTTATATGACCGACTATCATGCTACATTATGAGCATCTGACAAAATGCCTGATTTGAATATTAGTCCTTTACAAATAGGTAGATCCCTGGTTCTTTGGCACTTTCAACAAATACGGGGTCCAAGGGTCAGGAATTCAGGATGGGCCTGACCTTTCCCCCTTCCCTAGAGTTTGAAATAGTACCATCTCACTCAGAGAGAATGCACAATAGGAAGTAACCTTAAAACTGGTTCATTTCTTCTTTTCATTGCATAATACGATAGGAAAAAAGGACAAGGTCTGTATGAGGGTTTTTGAAGATTACCGGTTCAGTTGAACCTTAAGCGTGTTTACGGACCGATTTTGCGTGAGAATGGCCTCTAAATACATGTAAGATAAGTCAATTTTCTAACATTTTCCCGGGTAACCTTCCCCCTGCCGCCCACCCCTTTTGTACTGGGAAGGTCCAGACTCCCACCTGAAAAATTAGGGGCCAGTCCATCCCCAGAAAACTGCTCTACACAGGAAAAACAGTTGTTGAATAACACTTCGGATGTTAAAAATCTGCGCGAAAACTCTTGAATGTTGATATGAACGCCACACGGCACGGTTGTTAACCCTGGTAAAAATTGGCGATAGGAGCTGCGTTTCAAAATACCAAAGGAGTTCTTATAGCCGACTGAAGAAGGCAATAGAAAATCATATAGCTGGCTGTAGAAAGTGGAATAAATCATACGGCGGGCTCCACGAAACGATAAAAAATTATACAGCCGGACTATAGTTCCTATCACCAAGCTTTACACTGTATCGCCTAGCTGTTGCTTTTTCGCCATCGGCTGTAAAAGGCTATAAGAAATTGTGTAGAAATTCGTGTGCTTTGTAAATACTTAAATTTGTACGGAATCACCTTAATATTTACAAAGCGCACATTATATTTTCCTTTACTACATATTTTTTTTCATCAATTAAAATGAGAATAATCCATACAGAGTGTGCAAACATGTCAAAGTCATGAGTTGAAAAACGCTGACTCCACGAGATTAAATATTAGAGCCTAACACAAAGCGGAGCGGCGGCGCACTGACGCCTACAAACCTAACAGGGATACTTCACACATTGCGCAATGCGTGAAGTATCCCTGTTAGGTTTGTAGGCGCCAATGCGCGTTCCGCGCTGGTTGTCCGCCCGCCGCAGCGTACCACGGCGCTTGAAGCAACTATTTCACACCAGAGGTATTGCACAGTATCATACGAAATTGAAGGCGCTCCAGCATATCAGGAATAGCAGGCATCCTGCAAAAGTACGGGGCTTTCCTCGCAAAATAAATCAAGATACTACGGCCCAAAAAGAGAGCGGTAGTCCAAAAACTCACTAAGTCCTATAGCATTCGTAATTAGTAACGTTTAGCACACACTTTATCGCCAGGCTGTTGCTTAATCGCCAGCGGCTATAAAAGGCTATAAGAAATTGTGTTCTCGGCTATAGAGGCTATTGGAAATCTTACAGCCGGCAGTAGGTCTATGGTATTTTGGAACACAGATTCTACTGCCAATTTTTACCAGGGAATTCAACGTAGCTAGCTGTTCCTTTAACAGCCAGAGTGTCTATAACATCATTCATGAGGTGACGCACAGAAGTTTAACATCCACGCGATGTTACTTCAGCAACTTTTTTCCCCTGCATAGTTACGCCTATGGTGGATGAGAGTTGTCATACCTTCAAGAACTTCCAAACATTCTGGTGGATATCGATGAACTGCTTGTATCCGGACTTCTCGGGGGCGAGCCACCTGAGGAAGGGGAACTGGCTGAATATGGTGCCAACCATGTCGATGTTTGCGAACAGCTCGGTGAGGAGGCCCTGGAGGTGCTTGAGCTCCTTGTCTTCGGGGCTGTAGCGGATGCCGGCCAGCATGGACCAGAGGGTGTTGAGCACGGAGACGCTGAAGGCGTCGCGCATCGGCACCACGGCCGACCGCCCGCCTTCTTTGGCGATGGCCTCCCGGAAAGTGGACAGGAGCTGGAACGACTCCTCCTCCACCAGCTCGGACATGGTCCTCTTCCCGAAGCCGAACTCCCGCAGGTGCCTCAGCACGAACCTCTTCTGCTCCACCCAGAACTGCTCGTCCACTAGCAACAAGCCTGTGTAAACACATACGTGAAGATTTTAATCCTGATTCGACGCTCTCGGTATTTTAGACCCGATCTTTGCTATAAAGCCCAATTGGACTGCATTTTGCAATTTGGGCCTATAAATTCTGGCTTATCTGAAAAAACACTCATGTGCATAAGGAAACTAATGGCACATACGTTATTTTCAAACCGGGCCGGAATGTATAGTTCCTAATTTTGAAATTTTAAGCTCAAAACAGCTGTAGTGTGGAATCAACAACAATTTTTAGAAAAATCGGTAAGAAAAAGTTTTACAAAAATTTCAAAATTTGATGAAGTATGGCCGATAAAGTCAACAACAGAAGTGATTATAGTTCCTAATTGCAAAATGTAGTCCTATTCACACTATCAAACTTTTCATTCAACTCTTGAATGCAACTTGTCGTTATGAAAGTTGGATAGTGTGATACTGACGCGAGAAAACGGCAATTTGATGGGAAATTGAACGGAAACTTGAATTTGACGGCACATCCAACTTTCCGTTCAACTTTCTATCCAATTGGCGCCGCCGGTAATTGAATTAATTTTTTTTTGCGTTCGACTTTCCATCCAACTTTTCGTACCATAATGTCGGATGAAAAGTTTGATAGTATGAATTGGGCTTAACTCGATGAGATGGAGCGATACGTAACAGGGACATAGCTACACAGGAGAGTTTTGAGAAGAACACATCGACGGTGGAACTCCCAAACCACGTACCTCGGTTTGCGACGTTGCAGACTTTCCGTCATACGTTACTTTTTTTATTGGAAAACAACTCAATGTCAATGTTTAAAAACTTCCATAATTTTTTTCCTCCGTGCAAGAGAAATTTGAAAAAAACTTCAAGGAAAAATGTTAATTTGTTTTTCTCAAAAAAAAAAAAAAAAAAAAAAAAAAAAAAAAAAAAAAAAAAAAAATAGAAGTGGACATTTTAAAGCATCGCAAACGAAACTCGTGGTTTGGGAGTTTCATCGTCAATTTAGCAAGGAAATTCTAACATAGTCAGATGGGGATGCATTAGAAATCGTCAGAAAAAGGAACGGAAAATAAGGAGGGAGAGAAAGGAAAATCAGAAGGAGGAAAAAAAAGAAGAGGATAGAAAGGAGGGGCAGTAATAAGAAAAAAAAAACTTACAATTAGTACTTCAATCCACTTAAATTCTTTCTCACTCATTCCGACCAGATCGCCTTCAATACCTCGATAGGCAATGTGAGCGGCTTGGGAGCAGTAATAGTTGCTCGTAGTATTTTGGCCACGCTCACAACCAAGAGAAAGAGGTTTAAGGTTCTAAACCTCCGTGAGGCGCCAAATAGGAACTAAGTTTAATGACTATTTTTACGTTCAAAATATTTTTTCCCAACTTCGAATTTTTGACAGGAAAAAAGTTACTTCCAGTTCAATTAAAACCCCTCAGCTCATTTTCCCCCCAAAATTGTACTCGGTATGTCTTTTTAACTCTATATCAGTGCTTTAATTGAGATTTGTCGGTTAAAAATTGGTTTAAAAGCGCGCTCTTAAATCCTTTATCTATGAGCATTTATCTTCCAAAGTGCACTGAAAAAAGAAATTTCGGTGTATTTACTAAGAAAAGGGTAAAATCACCATGAATTCTTGGTTCTATTTGATCCCAGTTTTTCCTTGGTAAAATTATCATTTATGGAATTGGTACTTTTACCGAGAAATCTCGGTAAAATTATTGAACTTTCTCGGTAATTTTACAGGACCTTGGTAAAAACGCCAATATTTTTTATCGACTGTGGTAAAATTACCGAAATAAAATGGCAAAGTTACGGGGAATTGATTACCAATAAAAGTGGTATTCTTACCTGAAAAAAACAGTAAAAACACCGGTTTTTAGGTGAGCTTACCAGTCTGTCTTGGTAAAATTAGCAATAATTGGTAAAAAAAAAAATGAGATGGTAAAGGTACCAACGGACCTTGGTAAAAACGCCGAGAAGTTATTTTCAGTGTACTCATATGGATGTATTTTGAAAAATTAGTTGTAATTTCATGTGAGCTTTCCATTCATCATGCCAAACCTCACAATTAGAAAAATTGGAAGTTACCTCTGCGACTTCCCCAAGTTCTGTCCTCGTAAAAGGGTCCGGAGGGCCTGCCGTCGAATTCCTCTTTGGTGAGCAATTCCTTGACGGCCTCGTAGCCGGAACAGACGATTGTCTTATCTTTGCCTACTTTGAGGCCCACCACTGGACCATACTGCCGGGAGAGCTCCTCGCATGCTCGGTACAGGTACCCCGTTTCCTTCCTCAGCCTCTGTACGAGTAACATACACCCGATGATTGGGTACCATTCTGGACCTGTAAAATTATCAATACCGTTTAAATTGGCTCTGCTGTCATCAACATTATACATGTGCATTCAATGGATCTATGAAAGCTCAAATCCAAGCTGAAAGTAAAATACAAGGATATCGATTATAACAATTGGACGTATTTCTGCCAAAGAACTATGTGCATTAAGACACGAGTCCTGAGACCCATAAGAATACATGCATAACAGAGCTCACGTCATAATGCACATAGTTTCGTTTAGCAGAAAAACGTCCAATTACAAGACTCCACTGTTGTTTTATACCATTGTTTGATGGCACAAGACGTCTGGTAAAAAAAGAAACTCGTATAAAATTAGTCAAATAGATCAAATAGGAAATACCGCGACATTTTTTTAAGAATACGTAAAAAAACACAGCTCGCTCACGTATTCTATTTTTTCACGATCTTAGAGATCTACTTTGTTTCCTTTCAGATTTTTCTAGGTAAGGTTCTTGAAGTTCGACTTTTTACGAACTTTTACGAGTTTTTTTTGTCGGTGTTAGAACTTTTTAACTCGTAAAGATTTCTAGTTTTACATTTTTTCATGTGTTATTTTACAAGCTGCGCTACTAGGTTTGGCTGCAGAGAGAAAAATGTGTCTCTAAAATTAACTTTAAGCGTATGTCGACTTAGACGTGCTTATAAAACACACATTTCGTTAACACGAGAAAACAGTAAAAAATAAATTTCGACTTGAAAGAGGAATTTTTGATCGTAAAGTGGAGGAGGGGGCTAGTGGGTGCAAGCCCGATGCATGCCTCTCAACCCTTGAAGGCGCCTTCATAAATTCTGAAAGCAATAAGCTAGTCACGGAACCGTTCCTCATCGGTCCTCGATTGGAGTTTTCGCAAGCAGCTAACGGATGTTTTCGATTTATGATCACGCATTTTTGCTTATAATTTTGGGAAATTCATCATAATGCACCGGTCCTCTCTGAAATTAACTATGATGTTAACAATGAAAAAAGTTTTATTTGCTATTGAGATAGCAGGAATTAATAATAGTGTCTATCAATTCTGATTGTACGACTAAATACATTGGTGGAGTTCTCATGGTTGAAAGCCAAAATTTACCATCTAGACGCTGCAGTCTTGACATTGAGTGAAAACTCCACTAATGCATTTACAATCTCTATACGGAGAATTAAACTGAATAAAAAGATTGACCCGCATCAAACGGGGCAAATGAGCATCTTTAGCACCGCTTTAACCTACATTTTTGTTTTTTTTTGTTTTGAGTTTAAGAAGTTGAACCAGAGAAAAATCGGTGATATCGTCTTGTTTTCTGTGAAATTTTACGTAGGAACAAATGGCTAAATGTGAGTTGCACAGATGTTGTCACGATGTTAATGCCAAAATTGACATCGCAACAATGCTTTTGCAACGTTATAATTACCTACGTTATCTTTGTTCATTTTGAGACGGTCGGGCCCCTCACTCCCCTCCTCTGAGGCCTTTAGGGCCCATTGTTAAATTTGATTATCCATCCATCTCCTTCTCACCTAAAATTTTTATTTAAAAGTAAGATAGAAACTTACCTGGAGGATAGTTCTTAGGTTTCTTTGCATCCAGGTAGGCGAATAACCCGAGGATAAAACAAAACAGGATGACGGCTAACCACATCCTATTTGGAAAAAAAATTATATCAAATTAAGAGATAAAAAAATGGTTTACATATAAAGTAAAGGATCATTATTACAAAATGTGTAATTATGCTCCTCTTAAACAAGAATTCTTTATGATAGGGAACAAATAATTGGTTCCACTTTTTAGCCGAAAACCGAAAAAGAGGAGGATGTGACTAGAGAAAATTGATGCATGGAATCTTATAATCTGCACCTAATTTATTTCGTTTTCTGAAATGTAGGTGATATTCCGGTTGCGACCTAAAAAACTTCCTGAATTCAAAGGTAGAATTTTGAAAGATTTCTTGTATCATGCAGACCTGAATTAAAGCCTGCATTTCAGAATTAATCTAAGTTTTGGATAGAAAAAGTTTTACTTATGACATCGCCTAAGAAATTTTTGAAACCTCTTTTGCGAAAAAGTTACAAAACATGTGAGAGCACTGCGATAAATACAAAAAATGCCGAATTAAGGTGTCACTACAAGTGCTTTATTTTTTCTTCTGCTTCTTTTTCTCTCCTATGTAAATAATGAGCTTTTATACCATGAGCCGGAATTTTTGTGTGATATCACAAACTTCCTTTTATAACAGAAGCTTGTCGAATCCGAAGAATGATCGACATTTTTTATTCGCTCCTGTATGGGTTTAAAAACGTAGCCTCAATAACTTCCGATACAATTGCCCCGTTCGAGTATTATGACACAGTGAGATATGTGCAGCCACATTGTCAGATTAGTCTTGATCGTAGACATAGAGGATCTTGAATCCGTATAATTCAGCAATCTCAAGCACAGCATTATATTAATAAAACGAACCTATCAAAAACTGAGCTAGCCGGGCTGAAAGCAGTCGCTATGGTGTAAGCGGACAATGACTGCATGGAGTCTGAGCTCGGACATTCATCAGGAAAGGGGCGCCCGGTTGGAAGGGGAAAACCCCCCGAAATTAAAATAAAAACAAAAAAACGTGCGTGACACACTTAGGCCGAGGCACGTAATCGTTTATAAAATTCCATACGCTTGAAGCCGCGGAGATATGGACTAAAGGGAAGGGGGGCTTAGAGGGAATTGGAGAGGGGGGGGGGGTGTATTCACCGGAAGAATTGACCATTGCATCATGGAGTCGACGTCGCCGATACCGAGCTGCCGAATTTCGAGAAAAAAATTTGGTATTTCTCCCAGTTGTTTGATGGATAACCCCTAACCTAACACTATAGTGTCCGTGGGGCGACTGCGGGCTGATTATTGAAATTAATAGACAAAGCTATAGACAGAGAAGACAAAAGGGATATCGAAGGATCCTATAGGTGGAGGCAGGTGGTTGCAATGGACAAAGGAGGTAGGTAATAGACTAACTAACAGCAACCCACGAGAGACCCTATAGTAAGTCTGTCATTTTCTCTTTTACTCTATAGGAGCCACCCATTTCAACCAATAAGATCGCTCCATACTCCCTTTATCCTCTATGTCTATTGATTTCAATAATCACCCCGCTGGTGAGCTAAGACATATCGGGTCCTGAATGTCACAAAAGGGGAGAAAAATTATACGACCATTATAGTAACGTTTTTCGTTATCTGTCCAACTCCTTCCAGAATGCCTTTTCGTAAATCCCTTTCTCGGTGGGTCTGGGCTCTGTCGTGCCCATGGTTCCCTGCTTCATTCCATTTTATAATATTTGCAACTGCAAAAGCTGAAAGTATAATAACATTTCTGCTCGTTTATGACACCATAGGAGCCTAAAATACACGGATCTATCAATAATGGACTCCACCGCCACCTCTCATTGGAAAGGAGCTGTAGTATACATTTGAAGGGAACCTACAGACCCATACGGGCAGTTGGAGTGCATTTTGCCGTATGAAGAGCTATCATCTCTCGCTTACTTAAAAAACAGCATACGCGGCTTAAATTTTCCTATGCAGATAGGTACTTTTGTGGCTGAGCCAGAGATTATAGTTTCCTATTGCAAAATGTAGTCAAATCGCATTAAATTGTCGCAGAGTTTTACCCGACGACATAAGTAATTCTATGTTTATTAACAGAATAATGCTTCATGAGAAAATTTTTAGAGATTTTTCATTGAATCACTGAGGCAATTAACAACGAATTTTAAAAATTTTGCAATAATTCTTGATGACTGGAACGTGGGTACACCGCAAGGAACTCTTAGTACTGCATAGTAATAGACACCTATGAGGAACGAATGAGCCCTTGCTCACCCGTACCCCCACATAAATAACATTTTCTACCCACGCTTAACCCCTAATAACTAAAAATCCTGGTTTACGCAAATTCAGCACTATTCGCAACCACCACAATCAAACGGAGGTAGCTTAACTTTTGCCTCGCCGCCAAATCTAAAAATGACAAAAATGCCCCCAGGACAAAAATTATGATGCATTCGTCAAGATCCTGATTAGAAGAGTTTTCGGGTAGTTTGACCGCCGCTTAAGGAGTGTGCAGCAAGATGAACCCTTTTAGTTTAACTTCCGGAGTCTCAAAACGTGTAACTGATCGGACCATTTTCTGATCGGTCGATCGTCTTGGCGTGAGAACGGCACACGAGCTCCAGTTTTGGATCCGCGCTTACCTACCACGCACCTGACGAGTTGGAGATAGTGGATTTAAAGCGGGTTAATGGCATCACTGCGGAGACTGGAGAAAGTCCTCTCGGTCTGGTTTCTTGGCCCCATCCATACAGCCTCCCATCATCCTCCACACCGGCACCACGACCGCAGTAAACGCTTATCTACTTCCGAAGCTACATGTAAATTTGCACGGTTTCACAGCCTACGTGACGGCTCAACCCCCCCCCCTCCCTTCCTCTCCTCTCTCTTTCGGCGTTCGCCAATTAATAGTGCCATCGAGTGACAATTTGCGACCGCTTCGCAGCATCTTAAAATCTCTTCACGGAACGCTAGGGCTAGCGCGCAAAGCTCACTCTTATGAGCTCCAGCGGGTCCAAGTTCATTTAACCTCCCTCGAAAAAGTGAGGGATTTTACAAAAAAATTGAAATGACAACAAATGACTGACAACAATGAAAGTAATGAATAACAAATATTTCAGCTTTTAATTTGCAATTCAATTTCAACTTTTCAGTCAAAATATCCTAAGATAGCCTTTTCAAATTTTTCCCGCAGAAGCTCCTTGGAAACCTTTCAGAGTTAGTACAGCTTCCGACCCCCTTCGCTTGGGTGTCATTTTGCGCTCTCCAGCCCCCTTGACAAGCTGCCCTTCTGGCACTCCCCCCCCACAAAAAAAAATGCTACTTCTGCCCATGTGTAAAGAATACCTCACGCACGGAACTGATCGGTCGTCAGTGTGGATCTCACTTCCGGGTCACCGGTTTTCGGTTCATCTGAGCCACGCTTTTTTCAAGGATTTGCAATAGCCTAAATGCATGGGTACGGCAACCCAGGGGGCTGTAAGGAGGGGATAGTGGCCCGAGGGGTCAGATGCGCGCATGATTCGAGTGTTGCGAATAGCTGGAAGAGGCTTCCTAGTACTAGATTTTGTAATATTTGTCAAGAGACAATCACGACTAATGTGTCATGAGACGGCGAGCAGACGTTTAAGGATGTGCTGATGTACTGACTATACATGCGCACTGCATGCGCAATGAGCCTTTGTTCTGCAATACAGGATTTTTGGCTGCTAATTAAAGTTTGCCAATGCATGGAGGAGCTTTGGCCCTGGGCGGAACTAGGAACTTTTTGTGAAGGGGGACCAAGCTAGGTTACCTCATCAAGGGGGGTGTGGGGGCCCAAAAGAAAACACTCAAGAAAGGGCGGTCTCCTTGCATCTGCGAGGTTTTCCTAGCTCCAAGGAAGATTTTGGGTAATTTTCCTAGCTTTGAGGAGCCTCCTCCGGAAAATTTTGAAAAATTGAGTTGTCCCATGAGCAATTTTGAGCTAATCTCACCGTAAAATTGATCCAATTCCAATATCCAAGATGAAAGATCCGTCATTACGTAGCAAAATCCGCCATATTTCTTGAGACGGGCCAAGTACATTCCTAAAGGGCCGGCCTTCCTGCCCCGCCAATGGCTTTGCCACGACTCAAAAAAGAAGATTTTGAAACACCGCAAGCGAGATATGCGCTTTTGCAGTTTCAAGTCGTGTGTAAAGATAAGAATCCTATGATCTGAGTCAGTTAGGTTATAGGGCCCACACCACCCACGGGATTTTGCGTAGAATGAGCGCGTTTTTGCGAATCGGAGCTCATAGCAGGTGCCCCTAATTGCCCGAAAGCGCGTGCGCGAGGTGCGGCGCGGCGCGGCGCGGCCAGAATCGGTGCCCACCAATATAGGAAGAGGATCCGATGTGTTACACACATCTCCGGAACTGGTCGCGATTATGCAATGTATTACAAAGTCAACCACCAGCTGACGAGCTGACCGACCTGCTAACCAGTTTTGAGCGTTTTTTATGCTCGGTCTGATCCGGTCTCCGGTCTACAGCGCCGGCTCTGGCGGCGGAACTGGGCGAATGTTTCGACTCCGTCCCGTCTGGAGGTCGGCGCACGCGCAGTAGCCACCACACCTGCGTTGCCTTTCCTCCAGGATCCCTGAATTTCCCCTAGTTTTCTCATGAAAAGCGACACTTTAAATGAAACTCCGGCCGCGAAAACCGTACTTACGGGCTATATAGACATACCATCCGCGCTCCGGGCTCAGAGGCCAAAAGTTACGGGCATTCCACCCCTAGCAATCGAAGCTACGGTCCGGGACTGTCGGCCTCTGACCCCGGAACGGACAGTATATCTGTGCAGCCCGTAACTCCCCTAGTTTTCTTATAAAAAGCGACAGTGGAAAAGAAACTCCGGCCGCGAAAACCGTACTTACGGGCTATATAGACATACCATCCGCGTTCCGGGCTCAGAGGCCGAAAATTACGGGCATTCTCCCCCTAGCAATCGAAGCTACGGTCCGGAACTGTCGGGCTCTGAGCCCGGAACGGACAGTATGTCCGTACAGCCCGTAACTTTTTTTTCAG